GTATTTATAAAATCCCTGGGGCTCAGCCGCTGAAGCGCATGAAGGTAGCGTTGAATGGCCCTGGCGCGTTGGTTGAGTCGCGCACACAACCGCTCGTCTGACTCACCAGCTAATTTGCGCCCTCGTATATGGCGATTCCCACCTTCCTTGACCAGGTGCTGCCTTCGCCGTCCTTGATGTTGACTGTAACATAATCAATACCGGCGGATGCGCCGGCTGAGTACGACGCCTCGGAACCGCTGAGCGAGACTGAGCCCTTTGTTGGTCCAGAAACACTGAAGGATGGGGATGAGAAGCCTGACGCCAACGCAGCGAGATTGATCTTGACAGTCTTCGATGGCGACACATACACGTGAGGCTCGGCCATGAAGTTGATGTATCCTTCCAGCGGTGTGTATCCCTCCCCTCCGGTTGATCCGTCCCACCAGTCGGCGATGCCATCGTTATCACTATCCCACGACGAATCCCGGGTCACAGCCGGGAAATCCTCTAGCCCGCCAGCATCTGCCGGGTCATCGATGATACCCTTTGTATTTCCCACGCTCCCGGTGTACGTGTATGATCCGTTGAGTGTCTCCTGAACAATGCGAGTGTCGTGATCATCAAATACTGGTTGTTGGGCGCCCACATCGGAGAGCACGCGTTTGTAGGCCTCAGTCGATGTCTGCGTCTCCACATGCGGTTTGAAGAATTCACTGTCGTAGAATTTCTGGTAGGTTGGTCCAGGACTGAACTTGATCACAGCTCTGCATGCAATGTTTGATGTCTGGCCGGTGCCGTCACCTACGTACTGAGTCGAATCCTAGACGAGAAAGAGAACAGGTCAGTACGAAGAATATACCACCAGTAGTGGGTGGCCAGAAACCTGGACGCTAAATAGGGGAACTTACCTGTGTGAAGACGCCAGGCATCGAATTACCCGAGCAGTAATATGTCTGCGTACCTGGAGCATCGTCCTCGTAGGTGCCTTCCAAGTCGTATGTCATGCTGCTGCCAGTTCCTGGCCCTGGTTTGTAGTAGTTGCCGACAAAGTTGACTTGGTGTGCTCCACCGTCTGTCACTCGATGGCCGAAATTATACACGACATTGTTTCGGAAGTCGAGACGCCCGTTGAATGTAGCTGCATCATCCAGCCCCCCAGCCATGGACCAGCTTCGACCTTCAGCGTGGGCGAGAAGATTATGATGGAATGATCCAATATTTCCACCCACAGAAGCTGGAAATCAGAAACCAAGTCAGCATCAAGGATTCACCTGCTATTGTGGGGTGGTTCTGTTGTCTGCTTGAAACATACCTGCATAGCCGTGTGCGGTTCCAGCAGGATAGTTCTGTGTTCCAAGTCTGGTCAGCTGGAGGCTAAAAGAGTTTTTATCTAGACCATACCTTATGGCCAGCCACATTAAGAGGCTCTGATATCAAAGTTCTCTGCAACGTGATGTTGTTGGCGCTGCGGGACGAAAAGCTTTCGTCGATTGTCCAGCCCACAGAACAACGATCAAAGATGGCGTAATTGCTACCAGCCATTCCCATGCCATCAATGGTTTCACCGGACACCTTGGTTGTAATTTCCTTTAGCCTTGTTTCTTCCACATCCTTGTTTTATTAGCTGAGAAAGACTCACCTTCCCAGGTCTAACTCGCATATGTCTCCAGATATTATCAGATGCTCCTGGAAAGATGGTTAATAAAGAGGACTTCAGTGCGGAAATACGATAACCAAGACTCACCACTCAGGCCAACGGGCATTCCTTGGATAACAATACCCTTTCCAGGCGCAGTTTGAGCAGCCACTGTGACATACTTATCACTGACAGTCAGACGAGATGTTGTCGTAATGACTCCACCGACATCAAAGATTACGGTTCGTGGGCCTGTAGCCACAGTCAATGCGTATCTGAGAGTTCCAGGCTGTGTCCCATCCTCCAGGGTTGTCACCTTGATAACTCCTCCCCCTCTTCCCCCACGTGCAAATCGACTATAAGGACGTTAGCCGGCGCAGCTTGATGGTAAGGCTACCGTTTTATTAACAAAACGTACCCATGGCCCTCTGCTCCAGGAAAAGCCAGATGTGCGACGCGGAACATGTTTTCTCGGCCAATGAAGGTTTCATCATTTGAGACGACATCGACTCGCCAGTAATAATAGTCATCGGTGTTCAAGCCTTTGATGGAGGTCATTAGCATAGAAAGAAAATTCACCTTCGCTGGATCTTGTTAAGACATACCTGGGAATGTGGCAGACGTTGAGGTGCCTGATTCAACCAGCTTGAGATTGCCGGTTTCGGTTCCGAGATATAAATTATAGGAAGGGGATGCTGCGGACTTGGCCGCCTTCCACGAGACGCTGGTACTTGTCTTGCCCTCCAAATCGACATGTTCATTCAAATGTAAGGGGTATGGGAATTGAATCTGAGTCTTTACATCGGTCTTGTCGATCTCGAACCCGTTCAAGTATGCTCTTTTGTCGCCACCAGAGTCTGGCGTGTATACTATCTTGACTTCTTCGGTAGTGGAAACCACATCAAAGGTTAGATAGGAGGATGAGGAATCCCATAAGTTGTCTTGACGAATGCTCTGGGCCAGATCCTGATGGACGGCGGTCAGCTACTTAACAGCAGAACAACCCCCCGTGAGAGCTACTAACCGATAACACGTCACTTCCTTTCACAGAGATGGTCAAGGCGGCAGTGGAAGCCAGGTTATGGGGAGCATTGTGCCAAGTCGTAAGAGTATGTGTACCGGCTGACAGACCCTGAATCGTGAGCGTGATCGGCGTGCTGTCTGCGTCGGAGGACATCGCCTCGCCGACCATCTTCTCCCCCATGCCGGCAGCGGCCCTCTGTTGGACATACTTGTAGCGAGCCCCCTTTAGAGTAGTTCCTTCTGTAGACAAGGTAAATGTCACCCCGTTGGAGGTGTAAGAATGCGATGCTTGCGACAAAACTGTCCAGACTGGCCAGTCGGGATCGTCCCACACCCGCAAACCGTTAGGGTTGAGACGCACACGGAAGCCACCTGCTTCAGGAGCATCGGAATCGCTCCGTTCAGATTTGGTAATCGCAACCGATGATGCAAAACTACCACTCGCGGCTGTTGAATGAACGTTAGTAAGAGATCTAGCAGCTGCTGTTCTTCGCCAGTTTCCTCGACGTACTTCTATATATTTGTTAGCTCGCATTCGCTAATAAGAGTATGTTTACTAAGCTCTTACTGGCTGATAGTAGAGGTACTGAACGTGCTTTGACTTGCAGTTCCGGACTGACATTGCGAGTACGAGTCGTTGACGAATCTAATATCGGGCTTCAGCTTCTTACACTCCAGAAGTATCAAATACGGATCAGTTAGTTATTACACACAAACCGCGCCGTCCACACATTTAGTCTCCCCCGTCCAATCCTGGCCTCCGCACCTTTCCCATAATGGTTGTTGAGCAACCGATGTTGACAACAGGCCGGCAATGAGATTGACCGTGAGAAGTGATTTGATCTCCATGGTGCCAGGTATGTAGAGATATTGTGTCTCGATAAAGTATCATTACTCACAAGGAAAAAAAATCATCTATGATACTACTTGTACTCGCGACCGGTTAAATTAGCTGAAGGCTCATGATGAAATTTCCAACACTTTCATTTGGAAATATCCGGTTAAATGTAACTATTTAATTCTCCGAGAAGTGTCCCTCACCCTCCGGAGATAGTGTCTCCGAGATGAATCCCTATCCCTGAGTTCATCAACTCGGCGTAGTGGTGTCCGAGGCCGAGATATGCGCGCCTGCATATCCATAAGATCTAAAACTTCTGCCGATCTAACAGCAGAGGACGTATGTTCATCATGATTCGTGGATTTGGACTTCATTCAGCCAACAACCCATCCAGGAAGCCAGGTTGACAACCCAGCAGAACGCCTCTGAAGAACTATTCGCCAAACCATTTAAGCAAAAGTCAATGCCTGCAAAGCAATCTTAAGGGCAAGCGAAGCTACGTAGGGGAGCCAGCGTGGATAGGATCTAACTTACCTGCCTAAGGTAGCTCGAGGCTGTAGCTGTTGATTGCATTCATGAGCCTCGCGGCGGATAGGATCAGACTTACCTGCTTGAGGCAGCCTGTGGCTACAGCTGTTGATCGTATTCATAAGAGTCAGCGTGGATGGGATCAGACTTACCTGCCTGAGGAAGCCTGTGGCTGTGGCTGTTGATCGTCTTTATTTAGATCTCGGTCAGCGGGATCAAGGAGTGGTTTGACTTGCCTGCTCGAGGCTGCAGCTATTCATCCTATTCGCGAGAGTTAGCGTAGATGGGATCAGACCTACCTGCTTGAGGCCGCTCGAGGCTACAGCTGTTGATCGTGTTTATGAGGGTCAAGGCAAAATAAAATTAAGGAAAAAGAAATAACAACGCGCGCAGCCAGCACAAAAGCAATTATCTACCTAGGTACCTAGGCACGTAGCAACAGAAGTACCTCATGATGTCACAGTATCACTCAGACCAATAGCTGTTGTTTCATGACTGACCAATTGCCAGTCAGTGTCTCAAATCATGTGATGCTTTAACGTCCCATTATAGAAACGAATCAAGAAGCTGTGCTCCGGTTACGGCCCTCACACATTATCAAGCCTCGCACAATCAATAGCTTGATAATTATCACACTTCTAGCTAGGTATTGTTTAATTTATCCAAGGTAAATAATAATTATAATATGTCTAATTCTTCTATTACAAATAGTAGGTCTTCAGCTGGAACTACATAGGTAGACTCAAATGAAGTACCTATATCACTATCTTAGTAACATCTTCGGCCTATTGGTTACTTGTTTATGCACGTCAGGTGCGGGGTATAAGTTGGGCATCGAGGCACAGGTGGTCTGACATCAATCTTGACTCCGTGAATTCAAGAACAGACAAACTTCACACTTGGACTCCGACCTCTGCCACCTACGCAATTAACTGCTCTTTTTTCTGTGTAAAGTTCGAGGAAAAGCTCAAGTATAGCAGAATGTATTCGGAAATGGCCGGTCTCTCGCTGCTCCATCTCCATCCCGAGATCTTGGTGGCCATATGCCAAAATCTCTGCACGCACTGCGTTCGCAAAGGTTCAGAGCCACCCGCGTTCAACCAAGGACCCTCGTCCCTCAAAGATGCAAATGAAAGCCTCGCCGCTCTCTCATTCCTCTCGCGCACCTGTCGAACATTCCGGCACATCGTGCTGCCCATCCTCTACCACATGCCCTGGGCCACTACCCGCGACAGTGCCGGCATTCCTCGCGGGCTTGTCGAGAGACCAGATCTCGCGGATCAAGTGCAAGAACTCGTCTTTGGACCTGATCTATGGGCCGTTAGCTACTTCACCGAAACTTCCCCCTGGGAGAGGCGAATTTTCGAGGCTGAGATGGCAAACGTGGCCATCTTCAATAGTCGCGGCGATCCAGTGTCACCAAGATGTCTATGGGAAGCCGACCGTTTGCCCTTGCGATTGGACGGGGGTGATAGGCACGAGTACCTCGCGCAAGAGTTTCTGGCATTGCTCATTATGTCAAAGACGTTCAATGTGAGGCAGTTGACGATGGAAGGGGGCTACCTAAGTCAAAGGCCTTTCTTTCACGGCAACATATTTCCCTTTCTTACTACAATCAGGGTCCTGAATTGGGAGGCGAGAGGGGTCCAACTTGATGGCATGAGTGGTATCTTGTCGGCCGCTCCAAGATTGGAGACATTGCATTGTCGTTTATTGAACAGTGCCGCATTGGTGGGTAGAGGACAGAGCCCTCAACAGAACCCTTTCCGCCACGAGAATGTCACTACGGTTGTGTTTGAGTGGAGTGCACTGAGCGACTTGGAAGCCACAATGAGGCATTTTCCAAATCTGAAGACATTTCGCTATCAGTCTGGCGGTTCTACAGTGAATGAGATGGGCGAGGCAACCCCCGCTGACGTCTCGGCCGCACTGCTCGTCCGGAGGGACACACTGCAGACCGTCTCAATCGACCTTCGGGAGGCATTCTATGGGGATGACCTCGAGGAGGATCAAGTCATGCGCGGGTTATCAGACATGGCGGTCTTGGAGAACCTGGAGCTCTGCGGGACATGTGTCTATGTCGAGACTGACGACGACACCACGACGGATGGAACGCTCTTGACGAGCCTCTTGCCAAGCTCGCTGCAGGTGTTTGGACTCGATAAGCCGCACGAGCACATTTACCAGGATATCCTGGGACTCGCTTCCAGAGCTGACGAACTCTTCCCTAACTTACGAAAGGTCATGATTCGAGGTGTTGAGGATGGGCAAGCCGAGGTGTTTCGCAAAGCATTTGAGTCCAATGGCATCATGTTTATCCATAATGGGATTTTGCCCGAGTTTTATCGCTGGAAATGAACATAAGCTCTTGTCAGGTTATCATCATATCGGTAGTAAATCATATCTATCTTGACTCATTAATAGGCCTTAACTCAATCCACTATTGCGACCCGTCCTCTGAATTGTGCCTTCTCATCACGTAAGTTGAACCGCATCCAGAAAACAAGCTGAACCTTGAGCACGATCGGCATGCTCGCTGAGTAAAGAAAACAGTTTTCCATGTGTGGATAGGCTTGCTATTCATCAAGAGAGTTTAGAAAATGGGAAATATACTGTCCTAACACCATGACTTCCTACCCATTCATCTCAGATCTCGATGGATTAGCCAGAGGCAGCTCATGTACCGCCCATGACGCAGGGGCACTTGATGTCGGAGGCTCTGATTTTGTAGGCTCCGATGTTAAAGGTTCCGGTGTGGTAGGCTCTGTTAGAAGAAATTTGCTTTAGTGTTAGCATCTCTAAATTCTCTGTGAACAACGGATATAAATTGTATCAAAATACCTTTTGTTCTCCTCAGGAGTAGCAGCATGATTGTACCTAGTGAACACAGGAGAAGGGCACCGAGAGCCCCTCCCACAGCACTCCCGATAACCACAGAGTTGTCTGTGGGGCATGTGTTAGAGGTTTTATCATCTGTAGAGTTTGCGCAAGATATTATCGTCGGGTTGGTTGTTGAGATAGTTCCACTAATGTCCCCCCCAGCGCTCATTGTGGTGGAAGCCTGTGTTGCCGATTCAACTGTCATGACCGACCCGATTGCGACTGTTACGATATCACCGCAGCAGTTGTTGTTATCTCCAAAGACACGACAACAGAACTGCCGCCCAGGGGCACATGGAAGAACATTGTACGCAGTAACTGACTTGGTGTTTCCTAAACTCCTCGATAAAGATGCTTATAATTAGTAAAGGCGAGAATAGCAAGAAGTTTCATCACAAGGGCGCGTCGGCAGTCGTACCATCGGCACACGGCCGGGGACAGGCAGCGTCTTTTCCTGTCTTGTCAGTGCAGCCGTTTGAGTATATCAGTCCCTCGTACCCAGGCTGCTGGGAGAGGCAGAGTCCAGAACTCAAACAAATGTCCGGCACCTCTTTATTGAGATGGCAGCAGGCGCTGACCTTTGCGTTTGGGTTACAAGGTGTGAACTCTGAGCTCGCTTCGGAACCATCGAGACGGTAGCAAGTCTTTTGCGCTGAAACTGCTGCCAGCAGCAGAGGAAGAGCCGACTTGGATAGTCGCATGACCAAGGTTGTTGAGGGTAACGCCGGTAGTTTGCTATCTTAACTAGCCTCAGGATAGGAATCAGAATTTACAGAAATCTTTCAAATTCAACAGAAAATGGAGGAATTGGTCTCAAGACAGCTTGAGTGGCAGCCTCTATTTATGCACGTTGGGGAGCTGAACTTTTCGCCTCCAGGTTTCAGTTGGTGGCGTGCTGACATGCATAATGAGCTGTCTCGCGCATGCTCCTGGCGCTTCAATAATACACCAGCAGTCAGTAACATGATTTTATTTTATGGGCGTTATTGCCTGTGTCACTTTATTAGCCAACCTACGAACCATCGATCAACACAATTTGTGCTGCATTAAACCAGATATATGACAACAATTGTCAACCAAAAAGATACTTCGCCAGCCACCTAGAGCAGCCTTTTCCTCTGGCATAATTTTATACACTTATCGCAACGCACGATTGCTAGATGTTCATTGATTGAGCTTTGAAGCCTGGAATTTGACATCTCAGTGCCTGAGAACTATCCCCAGATTTAAGAGTATTTCGCTTGCATACACCATAATGTAACAAAGATCTAAACATAACCGTGATCGATTGAGCTATAGATTTAGAACTACTATCTCTTGGCACACCCATGCCCTAGCTTCTCAAATTATGGAGATCGCAAGGAATTAAAGCCATTGCTTGTTACCCCAGTGAGAAATGTAAGCACCGCCACTTCCATTCTCAATGCTAGCCTCGTTGATAACCTTGACGACCGCGTTGACGGACACCTCAGGGGTGATGGCGCCAGTCCAATTAGGCGCATATTCGCTGAACTTTGCAACCATTTGTCCGAGACCTACCTTCTGTTCGTCGGTGACTGTGGAATTCTTGTTAGTACAAGGAACCTTTATCAAAATAGCACTGTCATGGTAGAAAGAGAATACTCACGAGTTGCCGCTTTGCCAGTGTCGACGAGGCCGGGAGAAACGGCCAAGAAGAGAATGCCCTCTTTACGGAATTGGGCGTCAAATTTGGCCACGGCCACGTTCAGGGCACCCTTGGAGATGGCGTACGACGGGGAGATGTCCACTCCAAATTTGCTGATCATCTCCGCGTCAGCCATTCCGGTGGAAATCGCAATGGCCTTCTTGGCGGAACCATTTCGAAGTAGCGGAAGGAAGAAATTGAAGAGGTGGATAGGACCGATAGTATTAATCTTGATAGTATCAAGAATATCCTTTTCGAAACGCTCTGGCTCTTCACCTCTAGAGATCGATGATTTATCAGTTTCTGGCTGGATCTCGCGATTAAGAACCTAGATTGTTGTAGAGAAACTTACAAGGTGCCTATGTTTCTATACTCTGACCATTCTGACGCGACGGCAGCATTCGCAATCACGTAGTCAATCTTCCCGCCCGTGATCTTTGAAGCATCCGCAGCAGCTTTCTGGACCACAATATGAGCAGAGTTCCAAGAGTAATCAATCAGCTAAATTACTTGTGGCTTACCTTCAAGGCGGCGCCGTCGCTTGCATCAGCCTCCAGAATATGAATGTTGGAGCGGCCTATCTCAGCTTTGACCTTCTCCTCAGTGGCCTTCTTGTTGCGACTCAACCCAATGACGGTTGAACTAGGATTTTCAGACAACTGGCGAAGGAATTCAAACTAGCCAGGCGTGGATCAGTATATGGAACTCAGCGGGTATATCACGATAACATACTCCAATGCCCCTGTTAACTCCGGTAACAACGTAGGAAGCCATTGTTCAGTCGAAAAGGTGTTTTTTTTCCGTCGGGAAATGAAATGTGGTTATATGAAGTTAGAGTTCTGGCTTTTGGTCTGAATGTTGCTGTTGTCGATATTGCTGCTGCTGTTGGCTCGAGGTTCGAGATAGAACATGGCGCCCTTTATAGTTAAGGAAGGAAGCCATGAACATTGTAGTGCACATCTGTGAATTAGTATTAGATGATTACAAAACAAAGTCGCATTCGACTTCTACAATCTTCCAAATGGCAACTCAGCCGGCCATGACACAATCTCCATAGCCGTCTGAGGCTGCCCCAAAGTTTTGGTATGTAATCGCTGGACCCAGCTCGCAAACAAGAACCTTTCGTCCATTTTAGGAATGGCTCGTCAAGTCCACTCATCTTAGCAGAGGCTTCTGAGTGGGTAGATCAAACCCTGGCCGCTTGACTCAGCTCGCAAGTTGATGCCTTTCGTCCACTTTAGGAAAGGATTGTCCAACATCTCTGCATTAATCAGCGCTTCAGACCCGCTTGTTTCTTCTGAAATAGATAACCTTTCATCAATGCTCCCAATAAACTAGTCTTTCCAAAACCAGCATCAAGGCAACTTCTGGCGAGACACTGATTTATCTGTAATCGTCGAAGTGACCGAGCTGCACCAAGGATGTCCCGCCCCCGAGGTTGCTGGACTTGCAAAGGTGGGTTAGGTTGTGTTGATCGTGATTACGATTGGGTGGTTTGCCACAGACAGGGTTGTGAGCGTCGGGCTAACAAAAGCAGAGCGGAAGGTCTTATGTGACCGAAGCCACCCAGAGTGTTCCAGGTGCAAGAAATCCAATCAAAAATGCCAGGGATACGGAGTCCGCCTCTCATGGCCAAACGCAAAAAGTGGCCGAGCAGTTGTTGGAAAGACGGGCTTGATGTCGGTAAGCCCCGACACAAGAGCCCGGTTCATCAATGCCACTTTCTGGGACTTGGAGATGTATCACCATCTCTCTAGTCTTTCTGGCATGCACGGTTAGACTTTCCCGGACACGAAATCAGTTCTTGACTATATAGAAGTGCTGACCTGCTATTGGGCACTGTACAGAGCATAATGTCCATGTGGAACGTATGGTGTTAAACAAGGCGCCTTCCTGGAGCCCATTTCAGGTTGATAATGGGAACGAGACGCTTCTTGACTACTGTGAGCAATCGAGACACATCAATCAATGCGCACGGGGCCGTGGCTTACATTCACAAATTGTCTAGTTAATCACGTTGCATATAAGACCATGGGAATTTTCCATCAGGATTTTGAAGGCTTTCGCGACGTCATTCTTCGCCTCGCCTTCTCAGATGATACACCGGCTTCTACAGCAGTACTGAAATCGCTTCTCACGGTATCCGCTATTCAACGCTATGGGCCATCGCTGCAGGTAGACGACTTGAAGTTATCGGCTTTACGTGCTCTGAAGAACTCAAGCGAACATGGGATCGACGGCTTAGCAGGTGTTCAGCAAGTTGCGGCCCAGATGTTGCTGTGTTCTTTCGAGGTAGGTTCATCAGATCCTTTCTAGTAATAAGCATGGAATGTTCGGATAGCTAAATGGAAGAAGGTGAATTGCGCGGCGGTGACTTGGCCATGGTATATCTGCGGAGCAAATCACATCATCACGACCGCCAACCTGCCCAAATCCTCAAATGGAAGGGAGCTGAACGATATGGTTGATTGGGTGGCCTACCAGCACGTCATGTGCCGGTTCGGTCTGCAGCATTGGCGCAATGGAAACGACTACTGGAAATTGCCTGCAAAGAAGCGCCTTGGGATGCCGACAGTCTGCACTGACCAAACAGTTAGTTTGTTTTCGAAATGCTTCATATCAAACGCACAATTCTGACTAGTATTAGGCACTTAATGGAGCAAAAGGCCCCCGTGAGATTGTCACAATACTCTCCGAGGTGGTTGAGAGCATCCAAGACCCTTCAGCATCATGCTATCACTCTGCCAGCCATACGGATTCCCTCCGGCTGCTTGAAAACAGACTTGAATCCCTACAATCATCGTTTTCTGCCTGGACGGGTACCGTCGACACACCCGTGGATTTGGTCGAGCTGTATAGGCTAGCAGCACTCATTTACCTAGAACGAGCGTCTATGCGATCCTCTGGTCCATCGGTAAAGATCCAAAAATGGTTTCAGAAAGCTTATGCCATACTAGAAAAGCAAGAGATCTACCACAGTCCATTCCCTCTGCTGGTATTGGGAATAGAATCTCGGAACGATGAGCAACGCAAGCTGTTTTTGAAACTTGTACGCCAGGCCGCCGTCACGTCGGGCTCAGTAGCAATGAAGAATGTGCACCGCATGCTCCAGTCTGTATGGCTACAGGACGACTTGGAGACCGAGAGAGTCCTGGACTATCGGCTGAAATTGAGGGCTGTCTTTAGTTCAAGTGAGATACTTCCATCATTAGCCTGATTTTCAGTGCCGTGGCTGGGAATCTGTAGGCTCGGCCGTACCGCGTGAGGATATTCCTCATTGATGCAGGAGCATGCCTGGAATATCTGTCTGGGCAATTTTAGCCATTTAATTTAGGATTTTAATTCGTATTAATTCATTTGGAGTGGGGAAAGCGTAAGAGGCAGCCGTATATATATATATATTTATTAAACAGGAGCTTCACCCTCGAATGCACTCTGACAAGCACATGAGTGTCACTTTAGCATCGAGCCGCAGTGTTCATATAGAAGGCTTGCTGGACGCCATTTTCAGCAGCCTCAGGATCGATAGCCTTCTTTCGCTCATCAATCTCCTTGGCTAGGCCTGCTACTCGCCCCTGTACAGTCTTCCAGGTAACAGTCTCACCCTCACTTGAAGAGTCGATCCCAACAGGCAGTTCAACGCTTTCCAGTCGCCCCTGTTGCTTCCTCACAATCCCATCGATGATAACTGTGTCAATGTCTCGAATCGAGCTGTGGAGGACGATGGCCGCCAGTGGATCCCTGTCCGCAGCAACGGCCATCCCGGGGCTTTCTGTGTCGAAGATAACAATGTCTGCCTTTTTCCCGACGGAGAGGCTTCCAATTTGGGATTCCATTCCGATTATTCGGGCGCCCTGTATGGTGCCAAAGTTGTAAACATCCCGGACCGAGTATCCGACGGTCTTTGACCATTTAGCTTCAGCCTCCAACTCTTCATGTCTTCGTGCTCGAGCCCACTGTAAGACCAAGTTCATCTGGCCTGGGATGTATGCGCTGCATACACTATGGCAGTCAATGCCGAGACCTGAGACAGGCTTCAGATGCTCGTCAAAGCAGACGGGGTTCCCATGGCCCATCTGTAGCTCTGTAGAGGGCGTCGTAGAAATCGTCGCTCCTGATTCGGCCAGGATCTGGGTATCACCAGGTTTCGGGTTTGTCAAGTGCGACAACAAAAGCCCTGGACCCAGTAGATCCTTGGATTTAAGATTCTCTACAGTTGAAGGTGCATGCGGCGCTGTTTGGTTTTAGTATATAGTTTACTCCTTCTGGAGAACTTGACATATGGAACTTACCTCCGAAAGATGCTCCATATGCTGCATGTGCTGTAATGAGCTGTACACCTGCCTTTCGGACTCTTGCAAAGAGCGGCTGCAGATATTCTTTAGGAAGCCAAAGCCCATCGAATGCGAACCCAAGCCGGACACGTCCATTCGGCCCAAAAGGGTTTTGGGTGGCCAGCTTATCAAAATTCTCCATGACCCACGGCGGGAGCATATCCGGCACCAGCTTGAACTCTGGGCTCCAGGATGAAACAATGGGTGTTGGGCAATACCCGAAGATGGATCGAATACCAGATCCAATCGTCGCTCTCAACGCCTCGTGTGCTAGGCCAAGTTCTTCATTAGCTATGGCCCACGAGCCCCAATTCGATGTCTTTGCTTACAATGCTTCTCGGAATAGTTGACAGTGGCATGATCAACCACTGTTGTTGTTCCGCTGTCAACGCATTCCATTGCACCGGCCAGCTGACTCCAGAAAATCTCGTCCGGTGCCAGCATGGAATTGATAAAGTTTCCTATATTGGCGTTCAATAAGGTCTAAGCAAGGAACCTCTGAGACCGCCAGCTTACCTTTCCAGAAATAATCCAAGAGGGTGTCATTAGGATGAGTCGCCTTTAAGCAAGATTGCCACACGTGGTGATGGGTGTCGATGAATCCCGGGGAGATGAGCTTTCCCTCACAATCGATAATTTCAGCATCGCCCGGGTCAATATTTTGACCAATGGCCGCGATGTTCGAGTCTCTGATCAAGAGATCGGCCCTGGTTGGATGGACATCGTCTTTAGGGCCGTCATGGATGAGCAAGTCTCCTCCCTTGAGAATGATGGACATTTTGGCAGTACTTCAGATATTTCATCCACTCCAAAAATTGTCATACATCATAACCAACCAGTGTGCTGGATGTATTTCTTGGTTATATACTATATCGCCTTTGATGACATAATAAGACCGCGGCGAGTTCGTGCTTCGGTCTCGGGGCGGATTTATAATAGACGCGACTTCCACTCTGACAAGCACACTTCGCCTGCGTGCAGGATCTACCAGATCCGATTAGGTTCGTGCCGAAATTGGTCTGATTAAACGTGCAGGGGGCCTCTCGCCTGCGTTGATGCGCAGGTGAATTAATTTGAGCGAGATACTTACAGGAGCGGTAGTTACCCTGAACCCTTTCTCAATGGGGTTGGCCTAGTCGTACGCACAATGCCGAGAACTCTCATCTAACTTAGGACTGGAAGTGTGTCTCTCAAAGTTATTAGAGTCTGTGATTCAAAGGCTTTCTTAGGTTCAAAATAAGGGCCAGCTAGCAACAATGGAGGCAAGCGGGACGACATCATTTGTGTTATGGACATCAATGTCATGCGCAGACTAAATTTTGAGAGGCATGGCCTTTATCCTACACCATTGGTAACCATCGAGAAAGGAGCAATGATTTGTGGAATGGTATCTCAGATTGCAGTTCCTGGTTGAGCCTCTGACGACCGTCACTGATGCACCTCTTTCCCTAGAAAGAGGTTGGATATGCCATGTTTTACTTCAATCACCTACCCTCCCTACGAGAAGGAGGGGACGTTTAAATCCCATGTTTGCCTGTATCATTTATCCTGGATTACAACGCGGATAAAATCTTGCCGCCTCGCCTCCATCCTTTGCACATAGCGGCGGCCCATCCAACCTTCCTAAGACATGTTCTAAAATCATCGACTATGGGCGATATTTCTGCTAACATTGGCATGAAAGCCGCGGCCGTGATGGCCGGTTCCTTTTTATCTGGTAAGAACACGGATTCGACTCTGGCTGCGTTTTCATCACTTAAAATTCGCAGGTGGCATGATGAGCATTTCGATCAACGTGATGATGGACACAATCTCGGACTCGCCGCAGCTTCTTAAACAGTGGGCACGCACATTTTACTACGGGATTCGCATATTCCCCGCTATTTCTGTTACGACTGTGTTGCTCTATCGTTATATCGCTCTGAATAGGGGCGTAGTAAAACGCCCTTGGGGGATCTACGTGGCTGCGGGAGTCGCCACTTTTACAATGGTTCCATTTACTTGGATTTTCATGGACCCTACAAACAAAAGGCTGTTTAGTCAGGGAACCGACCTCGCCTCGGGACATGTGGTAGAACTGTCGGAGGTTCAGGATCTGATCCAAAAACGGAGTTGGTTGAACATTACTAGATCGCTGTTCCCCCTTTTGGGAGCGGCCATTGGTATGTTTGCAACGCTGAACCATCTCTAAAATATTTAGCAGCCTGGTATCACGTCCTTTATACGATATAGTCAGATTGGTTTCAAATAGTCAACATGAAATGAAGCAATATCATATCTCTTCCCTTCAATCGAGTAATCAGTTCCTTGTTCCTTGTAGCAGGCAACCAAGTTGTTACGAGGGCTTCATACCCATGCAAAATGTGAAGGATTCAATGATTGCTATATAGCCCCCACAACCAGTTACTCCATGCCGCTCTTTGCCATTTGAGTGGCGGTAAATGAATCAACAAATTCCCATGACTCATGAATCAGCTTTCCGTCATCAGTTGTCTTCAGCGTGAAAATGTATTCCATCATGAACGGCCCAGCAGGGGTATCCCCTTTACCCAATAAATGGAGAGAAATTATATTGTTTTGTTCGTCAATAAGAACGTTCGCGTTTTCCTCTAGCTGAAATGTAAGGTTTTGAACCTTGGCGAGTGTTCCTCCGAGGAATTTGGCCATCTCATCGTTGTTCATTTTCGGGGGTATTGCAAGTGAAAGCGGGTGGACATTGTGAGCAGCATCTGGAGTTCGTCCATTCGACCAAGCCTCTCCACTAGTAAAGTTATTCAGATTCGCAACGAAGCCGTCTGCGCTTTGTTGTAGGATGGTTCTCGGGGCGGGCATTTTGGGTCTTTGAGATAAGGTAAGGATTCGAATATATGGAACAGAGGCTTCAGTAGTACTTGGTATGAAAATCAAGATTTTGAGCAAAGCCTACCAGTTATGAGGCGTTCTGGACAATATCTGATAATTCATGCTGACAGCTGAGTGTACGTCGGCTTTGGAGAGCATGATTCTTTTATTAATCTTTTAGCGGGCCTGGACCGGAGGTTGTCATTGATATTTAGATTTGAATACCGAAGTACGAATCTAGCCCCGGTGCCTGCTTATTGACCTGATATTCATATACGCGTAGTTCGGCAGACCCCTGTATATATCTGCCATCAAAACATGCCAAGACTCCAGGATTAGGTTGCATCTGTATGGATGGAACGCCAGGATGCTACGCATGTACAGGATTTCTATGGCAGTTATGCAGTGTAACCCTAAAAACCAACTGATGAATCGCGTTGTTCTGACTCTATTGAGAATAGCTGTCTGTATTCCAACGTAATAATCCTTCCTATGATGACACGACATGTGAGAAGTACATAGCTGCAAGTTGAATCTGTCTTGGTTTTATGATTCATCAAACCCTCGCTGCAAGTCTTCTGTGATTAGCCATCACTCGTTTATTCTATCTACCGCCTTTTTAGAATTTGCTGCCAAACCAACCACCCAGCAAACATCGGCGGCGATTACGGCAATTACAGATACCCGGGTCACCAGGAGCCAGTGAATATCGTGGTGTGGCTGAAGACAGTTGCACAAATGGCGCACTATGATGGACATTTCAAGCTGGTCCTGGTGATTAACATCATTATGCTTGGCTTGACCACGATCGCGGTGCTTTTGAGAGCATATGCTCGGATCAAGGCCCGCATCTTTTACTATTTGAGCGACGGCTTATGTTTACTTTCATATTTACTGAGCACTGCAGCAGCCGGGATTATGTTTGACTGTTAGACATTTCTTGCCCATGTTTCAAAGGCCTGAACTTCTCCTGCGTCGCTGTGACGTTTGAGGCCCATCAGCCATATCAGGGTACAGACGAATGTTTGCTGACCGAAGTCCAAGATAGATCTTCGAAATACAGCCGTCGACGGTGTATTCAAGCCTCATCCGATAATTGATCCAACTGATACCGCCCATATTATGTGGTTTCAGGAGTTTTACAAGGTCGTTACATTGCACATTAGATTGATGCTCGCCCGCTAATTATCATTCAAAAATCCAGATGAGCTACATCAGCCAGCTTTTATTTACCTTCGATTATGCCGTCGTCAAGTTCAGCATCCTGGCACTTCTCTGGGACATTTTCGGCGTTAATCGAAGAAACAAGAGATTCATAGCGATTGTTTCAGGAACTTGTGTTATATGGGCCATCATCTTTACATTTCTTTGTGCATTTAGGTGCAAGAACCCAGTGGACAGCTGGATAACCGACAACCCACCCGAGCTCTGCATACATACAGCCTATGTGTTTCTCCCGTTTGAATCGACGAACCTATTCTACGATATGTTGATTCTGTCGATCCCGGTCTTCGCTGTTCAAGAGTTGAAGTTGAGCACCTGGAAGAAACTTTCAGTTATGGGCATATTCCTCCTGGGCGCCAGGTTTGTTATCTATCCCATCTATGAGGGTGCAAGAGTTCTCATCAGTTGGTTTTCGACAGTACCTGTATTGCGAGCGTTGTACGTCTCGTTGAAATAAAGAAAGGTACGGTATTCACATCAACCCAGGAGAGGAAATAGCGAATTGAGGCAGCGGAGTCCTAACTGTTCTAATATTAGCCATCGATGCAACCATTTTCTTTTGGTCAATGGTACAACTGGGCCTCAGCATCATCTGTGCCTGCCTTCCCACCCTGGGCCCCTTATTCAGGACCCGTACAGATACGGTCGGCTCGAGTTCTTATTCTGGAAGAAGGCAGGGTTCTGGTCCCGCGTTTAAGATGAGCGAGTCAGAACAGGGAGCTTCAGGACCATGGACGGACAGCCATCGTGACATGGATTCTACTGCACGGGCATATCGCGAGCACAGCGCCGAGGCGGAGCTTCCTTTGGAGCCTATAGGACCTTCCAAAATCCGTGTCCGGAAAGACGTCACTGTACATCACTACTCTGCCGAATAAGCGGGCACCAGTAGATGTAGTCTGAATGTAATTTGAAAGTTGGAGTAGTAAAATCGGTTCTCGGGGTTAGAGACAGACGAAAGAGGAATATATATTTCGAGTTTCGGGACATCACAGGTTCCTAATCTTTTTGCAACCCACCATCTATATTCCTCCATTCAGACCAACGCGAGTTGCCTTGGCCCGGCATTTCGGCGTTGTAGTAACTCTTTCTCGGGGAGGATAGGATACAAAATCATGTCCCAGGTTTGGTTCGCCACATAGAGGGACAACATGTAGCCACGATAAGATTTGACCTGAATCTACTTCGAAAAGAATATGTCAACGTATGCCATCTTGGGCGCTACAGACCATTGCCCATCTTTTAATACCATATTCTACCATGAGATCTTTAGTCATGGGGCCGGTGATCTTTGTCATATGTCTCCGGTACTCTTCCTCACTTAGACCCAGTTTGCGATAGCCCAGAATCGTGAGGCACAGAAATTGATTATATATCAACTTAGTAAACGGCTTCTCATAAAATAATTTTATTCATTTTTTCAAGCTATAGACGATAAATCAGAGTCTTCAACACCAGACACAGCTTTGCACTAGTGCGCCCGCGTTTTTGGTTATATGATTTTATGAAATGCGACTAATGCTAAGAAATAAATGAAACTGCCACCTGCTGACTGAGGAGGACCACTGATATATTGTGCCTCACTCACTGCCCTTCTGCGATTCTTCGCCCATCAGCTATGAACAATATCGTGGCATTGCCTCATCTCGCTACTAGCATGAATATCGTAACCTCATCATTGTCCTCGGGATGGGTCTCTTTGAACCAAAGACATTTTGAAACCGCCACACCCTCGCACGTTCTGACCTAGAGTAGCTAACCGCCGCTGCGGCCGGCAGCAACTGGCTTCATGCTAAGGAACAACATGCTCACAGAAGCTGCAATCACAGGCAGAACGCTCACGAATTCACCGAGCCCTGCATAGGCCGGAGGTATCCGGAACTTGACCCACGCGCCGCTGGCCATCGTGATGGCAAAAACGTTGTAGATGGCAGACCAAACAAAGTTAAAGATCATTCGCCGAAACGCCACTTTGCTAACATTGAGAAGAAACAGCACGCCTTCCAACCCGTTGAGAATAACTACGTCAGCGGCCGTTTGGGTCACATCGCTGGTTGTCAGTGAGCCCCCAACCTGGATGCCAACGTGAGCTTGAGCAACGGCAATTGCATCATTGGTCCCGTCGCCGCAGAATACCACATAGCGGTCACTGTCTTGCATTAGCGAAGCCACGTAGTCGCGCTTCTGGTTCGGTGTGCATTCAGCGGCAACATTTTCTTCTGGGATCCCGACGGCCCTGGCGACGGCTTTGACAGCCAGTTCCTGGTCCCCTGACACGAGATGCACATTCAGACCACGTGTCAGCAGCTGGCTGATCACTCGACGTGCTTCGGGCCGTATCTGTGTACGTAGACCGAAAACTGCCAGGGGCTCTGATCCAACTATGATAACAAACGTCGTAAGCCCGTCTGCCTCCAGGCCCTGGATCACAGGGTGCGAGTCTGTTCCAGTCCATCGAGCATTCCCAGCTCTCACTAGCTTGTCATCAAGACTTGCTTCGATGCCTGCCCCAGGGATGGTACGAATATGGGATAGCTCCAACAGGCTTGTCGAGTCCTTTTCCTTGATCATGGTTAGGAGGTGCTTGGCCACCCCGACAGAAACAGGGTGCTTGCCGTTGGCGACCAAAGCCAAGGCCAGAGCAGCAACGTAGTCGGTCTCCTTCGCCATATACCTCTCATCAACTACCTCAAGCTCACACTCTGTTATAGTCCCCGTCTTGTCGAATATTATATCAGTCGCTTTCCGGGCCCTTTCGGTCGTTTCCGCTGATTTGATCACAACACCGCCGCGGGCAGCGATACCACCAGCAACCACGAGGACCATTGGGACAGCCAGACCAAGGGCACATGGACATGCTACAGCCAAAGTTGCAACAAAGTAGGTGACAGCTTCTAGCACAGCTTGTCCAGGTGTATGGTGGAATACCTTGACGCCGATGCCAAGCCACACAGCCAGGACGATTACCGCTATGCTCGAGACAGCTGGGACAAACCAGCCGGCTATTTTGTTTGCCAAGTCTTGGATCTTGGGTTTGGAATTCGCTGCCTCATCTACAAGCTGTGCGATATCAGTGACCGTATTCTTTCCCGGGAGCCGGTCTAGCTGGACAAGCACCGTGCCGTCCCCGTTCACAGTTCCAGCAATAACAGTGTCCCCCGTCTGTTTGAGCACTGGAATCGGTTCACCAGTGAGCATCGATTCGTCAATCTCAGTGGAGCCTTCCAGCACAGTCCCATCCGTGGGGACACGAGAATGCGGGAGGAGTCTGAACTGGTCGCCATATTGAAGAAGCCGGGCATCAATTTCACTATCACGGCCTTTCTCTACCAGAATCGCTTTATTTGGCTGCATTGATCTGACCGAAACCGCTGAAATGGCCCTGACGCGCGCAACCGTGGCAATGAGCCGGCCGAGGAGAATCAACGTGATGAGCAGCGTGCTGGTTTCGAAAAGGTCGCTGCCGAGGGATTTGCCAGACATGTTGAAACCGAAGGCCACGACAGAATAGACGTAGGCGGCCGTTATACTGATCACCACGAGCATGTCCATCTCGACAACATGGCTGTAAAATAGAGTCGACAGAGCAGGGCGATAGAATTCGGGCACGGCGATAGCTTGCACGATAGAGCCCAGGACGAACGACACGATAGCCTTCTTTCTGCCTTCAACCAGGCCGCGCCGCCAGGATAGGACAAGAACCGGGATCGTGAAAATAGCAGCAAGCGCTGTCTTTATTGACTGGTCTATCAGCCTACGGCGGGTGGTCTCAAGTTGGCTGTCCGGACGCGGAGGAGCAAGGCCCTGAGTATTGGCAGATATTGAATTAAACAAGGCCCTGGCGCCAATGACTCTTGGATCATACACTAAGCGAAGTGTTTTCTTGTCAAGAACATGGACATCCACTACCCCTTGGGGAGGCTCCCGGGCGAGCACCTTGCCATTCTGAGGATCTACATGGACATCGATGAAGAACTCGCCCCCAAGTATGCGGGTTAGTCGGAACCCGGAGCCAGACGCTGCTGAACGTACAACCTGATCGGCGGTGGTCAACTTGTTGTCAATGGTGAAATCGGCGCGACCGGCAATGAAATTGACCCGAGCCTGAGAGACACCAGGGATAGCAACGAGTATTCGTGATAACTTATCAGCGCAGCTGGTGCAGTCCATGCCGGCAATGGCAATAGAGACTAACTCGTGTTCGGCGGCCTTCTCCATGTCTATTTCCTCGTTGTGCTGAACTGCTGTGGTCTTGTCGGTGCAGCAGGAGCCTCCATGGCTATGGCTTCGACCATTGGCATGCCCATCGTCATCGTGCGAGTGGTTGTGGTGGTCGTGGTCGTGGTCGTGGTCGTGGTGGTCATCATGTTTGTGGTCGTGGCTGTCGTGTACTAACAATTCTTTCTCCATGGTTTGAAAGACACGGCGAGCCTTTAGGGGTTTCCGTGTGCCTTCTGCGACTTGGGGGCGCTTTTTATGAGCGACCGAGACAGCATTTGAGCGCTGATTAAAGTGAGATTGGGTGCGGGATGGCCGCCGTTCACTCTGTCTTAGATGTCGGTCCGAGTACGAGGCGTAAGTGAATGGGTATTGCTCATGTAGATTGGGAGCGAGGGGAAGTATCTAGGACATTCAGTGTGTAGATGGAAGCGTCTGATTGTCGTAGAGATTCAGTCCTCTTTGAAAGGAAATGGCTGTCCGCCGTAACACTCACCGCCAGCCACCGCGGGATCCAGGAATTAGGCATCTGAGGTTGGTGTTCTCGTCCTCCACCATTAGGGATTGTGATATAGCTTACCTGATTCGCAGGGTTTCACCTGTACGCCTTGTTTGACTCTGAGCAGTCTCTACACTATTGGATTCGTCCTCCCATCACAGCCTTGGCACATTCCAAAGGCCCGACGTTCTAGACAGCCACGTCCAGCCCGTTTCAGACATTATCGCCATCGCGGTCTCAGACATGCCGAGCAGGCGGGCCCGCGACATCAGCACACCGCTGGACTGGATGTACGGCCATATGCCATGCGAGAGCTGCCCTACTGGCAACTTGAGCGCCATGACGACGTGCATCTTGGCTGGGCCTCCATTCCGCTGCGATGATGCACATACCGAACTGTTACAACAGACGATGGTACGAGCTGTCCCCAACGCGCTGAAGGGCGCACACAGAGTTCGCAGTCGGAAAATTTCCAGCTTTCAATTGATCCCACTCGGATATCAACGGGTCATGTGTTACACTGGTGATCTGCCACAGCTGGAGAGACAATTTGACATCATCGGCGTTGAATCCAGCTCACCGGTTGAATCAGCCCCGATCCCATGTGCAATGGAGGTTACCAAATCCGATTGCAGTGGTATCTTTTGGACAGACGATCTTTACGTCAATAGTTGATCTTCCATGTGTCCATTTTTTTTTTTCAACATCATTGCCAGCCGACAATTCTGATCTCTGGCAGAGAGCATCACACCAGGTATCACCTCCACACTCCAGGCAAGTCATCTTTCGCAGGTAGTTGTCTATATTTTCGATCATGGGCACTCACAAGTCGTATAATGGGCGATTCTAGAGGCTTCGGAGGGACGATGATGCAGTGAAACTCGCAGTCGTAGTCAGCAATGATGCAGTACGGCGTCAAGCCACGTCACTCTGTGCCCGTTCCGCATCTCCGAACGGAACCATCATCTCACTGGCCGAGGCTTCTTTGCAGATGGCAGATGACTATTACCCCGCCCTTCTGCCACGGCATGAATGCCAGATCAAGTCCTTGCTGAAACCCGCGGCTTGGCCTCACTACCATCATCCTCCAAGCATCATAGCTTGTATCTGTCAAGATGCCCTTCTACCAAATCCACCACTCGTGTCCCCTGACACAGGATCAGCGCCAGGCCTTGGCGCAATCAATTACTGACTTACATTGCGCGGCCTTCACCACCCCTTCGTTCTTCGTCCACGTCAAATTTCTGCCGCAAGATGCCGGAGATGGCACGTCCTTTCTAGCTGGAAAGCCCACTACGCTGACCTCGAACCGTATCATTGGCATTCTGCGCATATCCCCTTCCCGCAAGAAGGCCGACTTCGACGCCCTCTCGGCCAAGATCGAGGACGCATGGTACGAGGTAGTGAATGGGGGCACAGAGTCTGTCGAACAGCGCCGCGCCCGGCATGAAATGAACCCGAAGAGGCTTTTGATGGTTACGTTGACACCAATGATGTGCATTCGTGAGGGTGGTATGGTGCTCCCTGAGGCTGGCCAGGAAATGGGCTGGCTCAAGGACCAGTTGCCGTACATCAAGGAGATGAGCCGGAGGGGCGAAGAGGATTTTACGGAAATCCTTCAAGAGATTGGGGAGCGTCCAGATCTGCAACGACTCGTTGCGTGAGCCGTTAATGTTGGGTTCAAAACCATCGCCAACCACCAAAATATACGCTGGGTTTGCAAACGCTCATTAATTAATGGGTTGGGAGCACCGATTCTCACGTGAGGTTTCCATATCATGTACGTGTGTGTGAAAAGACGTCAAAAAAAGAAATTCGCACTGGAGAAACGGGGATTTGAACCCCGGACCTTTTGTAGTGTATGTTTTTGATCATGCAAAACAAACGTGATGCCCCTACACCATTTCCCCACTGGGATGCTTATCTTAGGACCACATTCTGGTTATAGGCCAAGCCAGTCGCAGATGAGCCAAACACTGATCTCGACCGAGTCTACCTGGGTTGGTAGTAAAAAAACAGCCCAGCTTACTTGATTGAAGAACTCTCATTCAAGTTCAGGATTGTTGTTTAGTCGGAAATAAAAACTCTTGTTCCTAGTCAAAGTGGACACAACATCCTACTACACGGCGTCCGTCTTTCGCGCTCTCCAAGAGAAAAGACCGGTAAACGGGCAAGGCACTGCTAAAGACGGGAGAGATGGCTTACATGCATTGAAGTGGCTCTTGATATGAAAATGCGGCCCCTATTTAAATACCAAATCATTTCATGTTAGACAAACGAAAGACAGATTTAGGATTGTGAGGTTATATTGAAATCACTCAATAAGCAGCGAATTTGTCAATGTAATCAACCAAGCTCTAAGCTATGGCGTAAATCTGGTCCAGACTAGACTGGAAATGCTTCTCGACATTTTTTCTCTGCACGCTGCCCTTTGCCGTCTTGGGCAGAGACTCCTGTGGCACAACAAGGATGAACCGAGAGTCATCGACACGCTCGTGCATATACCTCCGCTCATGGAATGGGGTGATTCTGCGAAGAATCTCCTCGCGAAGGTATAAATGATCCGCCTTTCCATCCTTTGGCTCTACCAAAATCGAAGGAGATGGCCGCCCGCTTCCTACGACAACAGCCCTGTTGATCAGATCTTGGGCGCAGAGCTCCATGACGTTCTCCTCAATGGCTTTCGTATCACAACGGAGGGAAGACTGCGTCTTGATCCAGTCGTCATTGCGTCCTCGGAACTGGTATTTTCCTGGCATGACCTCGACGAAGAGATCGCCCGTGTGGAAATCGCCGGTTGCTTCGTTCCGGAGAGATTTCGGTGGGCAGTTGTGGCACTCTGGCGGAATAATCAACTCCAAGAGCTTCTCTCCCGCATTGTCACCGTCCGTCTCGTGGTCTTGTATTGGTACAAATTTGTACGTTGCGCCCTTGATTGGACGTAAGAGAGCCGCGTCAGGCCCATCTCCTCCTACCGACAACAAACCGATGCCCATCTCGGTACTACCGAACCCCTCGGTGAGCTTGACTCCCTGCTCTCGGGCCCAATTGGCTACTTCTGATTCAAGAGGGAGACCGCCATAGGTCACATCTGAAAGGCTCTGCAGCGCCTCGAGCAACTCCTTGTCTGTTCGCGACTCTCGGATGATGTCGCCGAGGAATGACGCAAAAAGGAACAAGCTCGTCAGGCCGTGTTCCTTGACGAGCAGTTTGATCTCCTGTGAGGTGCAAGGCATATTCTTGCAGAGCACCACACACCCACCACGGGCGTGCGAACTCAGCATCATGAAAGAGGCAGCAAGGTGGCAGAAGCTTCCACTGCGACTGAGTTAGTCACCTGGCTATGTATGTCACTAATCCTGCTTGTGCAACTCACTTGCTTGCCATCACACTTCGTCTACCATCAGTGCAGATGGCCTGGAAGATGTCTTGGCTCGTTTTGATGTTGAAGTTCAACCACCTAGCAGTGGTGTCGATCGGCTTGGGCATTCCAGATGTTGAGCCTGAGGAATGGAAAATCATCACAGTGTCATCGCCACTGGCCGGCACCCAAACTGGAGGCAGTGGTAAATGATTCACGTCTAGGGTCCTCGTGTCTACGGCTGGTAGACTAGGTTGATTGACGTTGACCGTTTTGAGCCATTCTGATTCGACGACGACGGCTTTCCCGCCAGTTCTCTCGAGAAGCGTCGAGATAACGTCGGAATTTGTCAATCTTAGTGAGAAGAGTTGTGGGATATACCCAGCTCTCAGTAGTCCCCAAATTAACACACCATCAATGTACGATAAGCCTTTGACCCTGTTTAAGTGTAACACGTCAATGAATACTGGTTTCTTATGGCGGAGATGATTGTGGTGTAATGGAGGCGGTTCCTACCATATTCCAACTACATCACGGTACTTCACTCCTTTTTGAGAAAGCTCATTTGCCCAATAGCGAGCCGCATTCTCGACGTCACGTAAGAAATGGGCGAAGGTTATGGTTTCCCATCCATTTGAAATTCCGCCATCTGAGAACTGAGGGATCTTCAAGGCTGGTAGGTCTGGCTGTGTGGTGGCTGTATCTATCAGCTTGCTGATATGTGTGGTAATCGGAAGAGGAGCCATGACAGATAGAGATTGCAAAAGAACACGGAGAAGTACGTCTCTGTAGAATCTCTGGGTGCTGAACAAGTTCTGACACGCTTAGGAGCGCAAGTCTAGGACGGCCAGGGGAATATATCCCTTGACGAGTAAACTGCCCATGGGTCGCGTCTTGCAAGGATCATACAATCGAAGCGTCGCATGCTCTTAAATCCGGTATCATGCCTTTTTAGGAAATCTAGCTTTCAGGCGGTCTGTTTGACGACTCCGTATGAGGTTTTTTGAAGGCTGTCTCCTGGTCAAGGCTTGGGGTTGATAGTACGATCCCACTTCATTCGGGTGAACCTTCCCGTTGAGCGGCGACATGCTTAATGGCAGGGATTAGAAAATCCGGAGACGAAAGCCGTTTGCTGAACAAAGCGCAACCAAACAAGGCCATAAGTGAGTTGATCTTAGATAATAGAATTGATCTGAGACCGGATGAGGCGGCATCGTGATGGGGCTTATTGCTTCCTCCTCGGCATCCTTGACAATGCCCCCATAGAAAGAGGAAGTTGGGTTGGACTCATCTCCACCACAGTCATGCCCTCGTGAATCAGCCTGAGGGTTAATAGCCGCTATTAATGACGAGTTTCGAGTAAAGGTAATCACGCATAATGAACCAACGTCATGTGCAGCGATCTCGCTTGCGAGGATACCTAGCAGCCATCAAACGCAATTCTTACTTGTAATGCGTTTCCCATCATGGTAGGTATATTACATATCTGACCGCCCTTTCAGATGGATTGGTTTTGAGTAGCAAATAAAGGCAGTTACTTCCTTTATTGATGATATAGGAGTACCTGTTTGGTTGAATGAAAGGCCTAGTTGTTTGTCTTTGAAACGTATCACAGATCACGTTGGAAATCGGCCAACGGACGCGCATTTGAATAATCATCTCGAGTAGAGAAATGGAGCAGAACCAGTGACCGATTGCTCCTATACTATCCACTAAGGCTTGCGTCGCAGACTGGTGGGGATGGCCATGGCGTTGCCTGCTCCGGTCGACCCTAACAGGACCATAAAGGAATGACATCTTCACTTTTACTAGTCCCGAGATACGTGAGGGGCAATGTGAACAATATACCAGCCAGTTTATAAGATCATTGCTGTCTTCTCTAATCTATATCTTGTTATAGGAACTGGATTTCAATGTCTCCAGCAACTGTCTCCCTTCATGCTTTGTAACAAACAACACAACAGTCTGATTTGTGTTTTGGTCCGCTTGCTGACCCTCATTGTAAGTCGTCTTCCGTGTCCAGATTAACCCAAGGAACATCTAATCCTGGGCATTTCTGAAGAGTCCTTTCTTTTATGTAATTTCGACTTTGGGTGAGTTCCCAAATTATGTCATGCCTGAAGGTCGGGTAGACCTCAAGGCGTCTCACGCCAATCAGCCGCGACAGCTTGCCGAGCAACTTGGGTTCCCAGCTACACGGAGATTCGTCAGTGGCTGTTTGCTTCGTTCATATCAACGGCCTCAAAATTACCAGATGAGAACATTTCCATCGCCAACCCAGTGATCAATAGCGTCCAATACGCAGCCGTAGATTTTCCGGGGGCAAGAAGCACGAATGTTGACTTCCAAGTCTTTGGCAAGAGGAGCTACAGTGTCGTATCCCAATTTTTCGACCCTCGCTACTGGCTCTCAGTAAGGTGTCCGCATCCTTCATTTCAAGGGGACTCACGCCTCCATATATGTTGCGGGGCTACAATTAAGCCAATATGGTACTCAGACCCGGGCCCAAAGAGTTCACGAAGGCATTCAGCACGTGCGAGGCCGTCCTCGCTTAAGCGGTGGGTGCCGTTGGTCGTCATCTCACCGTGCGGGATCATGAAAATGTTCGCTCTCCCTGGCCGCTTGAAGCAAACCGCAAGAGAGGCAAGAAGAAGCGCTATGACAAGTCTCATTCTGTACCGGTTCCTGTTTTCCCACAGTGTGCAAGATTCAGAGATAGCCCGAACCTGGATGGGGAGAGGTGGCCCCAAACACTACCTTTAAATAATGGATCAGACGCGACTGACATAGAGTTTCACCTCACACTCCGATTGTTTATTGTTTTTCCAGGGGTGATAGATAAATGGCCACAGACAATCATGGTTCAGCTACTGCGGGGTTTCAACAATCGCCTTGACGCGTTCTGCTTGATTACAACAAAATGTAAACAGAGTTCCCTCACGCTTTGAAGTAGCGAATGTGAAAAACACATCTTTAGCAGACTAGCTCCATGGAAATTTGAGAAGAATAGTGAAGAGTAGGACAACGAGTCGGCGACCAATTTTATCGGCCAACCAAGTAACGAAGATGCCATATTCATTATGCTGGGTCTGGCATCTTCCATGATTGTTTAACTTTATACTCGAACTCTCTTCCGTAGCGAAGATGCCACAGAGGAGGCAGAAGGCGTTGAGGATAGCATCCTGGCAAAATCCAATAGTTACAAACTTGCTCTTGGGTTATCAGACCGCAGTAGACCCTCGACTTCAATAGCCGAACGTACTCCCCTTTCAATGGCGCCGTCCACGAATCCTCGCCATCCATCCGCCCAGTCTCCACTGGCAAATAACACCCTCCCATGAGGCTGCTGGAGCTCCTTCAGCCATTTTGTCATGCCGCCTGCTCCCCAGCAACTCCAAACCCCCTTGGCCAGGGGATCATTCATCCAATCGTGCGTCAGGTACGCTTTGACTTGCGCATCAGGTTTGATGTACTTTCTGTAGGAGGATATAATCTCGTCGCTGGCTCGGGGGTCTTTCAAGTACCCCCCATATCCGAACCCGATGCAGTATGTGCCATTTGCTTTCTTTGTCCCGTTATGGTCGGAAAAGGAGAAGCACCACGGCGAATCGCCGTAGCCGCTGGCCGTGGCGAACCACCCGGGCTCTTCTTGGGCGAGGTGGAAATGGATTTTGGCGCCTTGGTTGATGTGCCCGGCGAGAATGGCTTGCTGCTTCATGGACGCAACTGGGGGTTGGAAGTCGATGTCGGAGAGACAGTTGCTAGAGTTCCATTAGCAAGAGCAAGATATAACTGATTGAGACTGCAAGGAAAGACTCACTGTGGAATAGTGGAAATCACATATTTTGCGCGGATCTGGCGCCCGCTCTGCGTATGGAGGAGGATAGATTGATCCGTCTGGGCAATCTTCTTGATCACGGTGTTCAACACCAAATGGCCGCGATAATCAGACAAGATTGACCGGGCAAATCGACTCATGCCTCCCTTGCCGAGTTTGCAGAGCCCCGCAAGCTCAAACATGTTGGCCATTGAGTGGTTTCCCAGCGCATACCATCGTAGGCACTCAACGAAACCGCATCCGCTGCCAGGCACGCTTCCCAAGGAACTGATCATGGAGTCGAATATATCCTTTTCAATCTGAGGGAGATCTAGCTGATCTAAGCGGTCTTTGGCGCTGAGATGATCATATTTGGCCCATAGTGCCGGCTGGCGAAATGGTTCATGTGGATATGGCATTAATTCACGGCTCGTCAGGCCATCTATAGTAAAAAAGGCATCGGCCACTCGTTGAATTGCCGCGCCCACGTCTTCAGGATTGATTCCTTGGCTGGTAGCATATGCGGGAGTATAATAGTTGGCCTTGGCATCAAGGGTTCCTGCGGAGGTTTTCAGATTAGAATGAAGGCCATAACGATGCAGCTCAGCATAGACATGCGGCTGGTTCCTTGATGACAGTAGATGTTAGATGACGATTCTCCGGCCATTGAGATTTACACCACAAGCACCTACCAGTGAATCCATGTGCCTCCCATTTCAAACTCTTCACCGAGGGCTTTTGCAGTCCAGGTGCGCCCGCCAATACGGTCACGTCCCTCGAGCAGAAGAACACTATGGTTTGTTCTTTCGCTGATGTTTCGCGCGGCAACGAGTCCTGCGAACCCAGCGCCGATGACTACCACGTCATAGCTATCGCGGAGTGTTGACTGAGGTGTGGATGAGACGACACCATCACTGACAAGACCGACTGTCTCGCCGGCTGGTGTCCAGAGATATCCTTCTTTCGAGCTTGCCATCCTGGAGCCTTGCAGTTATTGCGATAAGAAAACTTGATTCTTGAGATCAATCTCATTGAAATCTACGGCGCGAAATCCTCATGGTATATATACAATGCCTATGTAATAACCGCGAGGAGGCCAGTGGCTGGACCTCAGTGTGGGGATCAACGATGATATGCCCAATGTAGCCAAAAAGTGCGAGGCGGCGTATTTTGTATGAGGTTATTCCTAATTGGGACCAGAAGTGCGAGGTCCATCTCAACAACGAGACTTATCATCAGTCTACGAAAACCCGAAGCATGACCCAGGTAATGTCATGTTGCCGTTCCTCGTCGGAATCCCGGAATCAATAATGGGAGTTCCGATTGGATGCATTGTTCATCGCGTTCTTTTTGTATAGTTGCGACATCTTAAATACCAGATACGGGCACCCATAATTGAGTAGAACAGAAAGCAGAGAATCATCAGCATCACCCACGACATTTATTTAGCCATGCCTTTCAAGTACAAACCCAACGCCTCATCTGTGAAGCCACCGCCTATAGATGAAAGCGGGAATGCCTTCGGAGGAGGTATGCAATCCAAACACTCATCTAGCTTCATGAGAGACTCAACTGACGGAGCTGGCCCAAAGACATTGTGTCCACTACAGATACCAATGCTGCGTCCCCGATCTCTGCAGGCTATTTCAGAATTGAAAAGGGAAAGCCTCTCGTCTTTGAGTATGAGTTTGATGAAGCAAAGCTCTTTCTGGAGGGCGAGTGTGTCGTGGAAGATGAGACGGGGCAAAAGGTCACTGCCAGATCTGGGGACGTCTTCCTCTTTACGAAGGGTTCAAAGATATCGTTCTGGACAAGCAGCTATGCCTTGGCATTCTACTGTGATCAGAGGGCGAAATTGTGAGCCAAGAGGCATAAGCTGGCAAGAAAATTGATCCATATGTTGTAATTCCTCGTCATGAATGTAAACAAAACTCATTAGAAAAAAAGGACGTCTCCAAATAAGTTAAGTCTAAAACAAAATCGATTGTGAATTTATTTCGTCTATGATAATCACCAGTGTGCTCTACCTTCAAACATTACATCCACTTTGCCGATATCCCCATAATCACGCGTGGCAGTCCGGGCATCAGTGATAGCGGCCATGCACATGCGCCATCCGGGGACGATAAGATTTGCCCGGTGGAGCGACGGGGCTGGCGAGGCATAGACCAAGGAAGAAACGTGATTACTGTGTGATCAAGGTGAGCTTCACCACCGAGTTCCGAAGCCGTAGTGTGGTTCCGAGGCTCGGCCCGTTGTCCAAGACCCCTTGATTGGAGTGTATGCGATCCAGACCTAAGCTACGGGGTACACGGCAGGCTAATTACAAATAAAATGGCACGGTTCGTTGCAAAAATGGCTGGGCTGGTGGCTGGGATTGAGTGGATGCTGCCAGGTATGGATCAACCCAAGGGCCATCGAGTGGCAACACTACAGCAAGCCACACCTGACTGATCTTTATGGCCTGGGGATCATGAGAGAGTAAAAGTAGATATGCGATGCAATGAAATAACTTCAAATGGCCCCTTACTGTCGCTGCTCCGATCCACCGGTCAAGGCACCGGAATGGAGATGCTTGCCGCATACTGACAAAGATCGTCAAGGGAGGGAGCAAGTGCTAGTATGTGGGACTTGCACATTAGACGGCCAATCGAGTGCTTCAGACTACTCGCAAATGGTCAAGATCTGGTTCATTTGTGAGGAATTCTACGCTCACGATTGGCCCGTCGACCCGCAAACAGCGTTCCCGAGGGCAGGATCTTTCATCCCATTGATCAAGACTCACCCTTCCGAAATTACTGAGTCATGGCATTGAGGCGAGGGAGAGGCGCCAGTTCACCTGAAAAGCACAAATTGCGTTGCATAAAATCAGTGCTATTCTACCCAGGCATGTGATTCACACACCTTGTATTGCACTCACGATCACGACCCGTAGTATCATGATGGAGTTAGGATAAAAAACCCGGCCTGCCTTGTAAAATCAATATCATCCTTCAAAGAAAAAAAAGAAAAAAGAGAGAAAAAAACGCCCGTGACATGACCAAGATAGCGTGCATAATTTCATCAACCATCAATCACGCCCCTCCCATAATCTTATGCCCATACAGCCAGGACAGACATGACTACCATCCCACCAAGGACCGAAATGAAGGCGATAGCAAATTTGGACGTAGACGCCTGGGACATCTCCTGGCTGAAAAGAAATTCGCCGGCGAGGAGCTCGACCATGCCAGTGTATGACAGAATCCCGGCACTGACCGCACTAAAGACTCCACCAAGCAATTTCTGCGTGACGGCGCTGCCTGGTTGGGCTGTCATGCCGACAACGGTGCCAATGGGCGTCGCAATGGCGAACAGGGCGACGAAGACGTACCGCAGGAAGCGTCGGTTGGCGGGCCATGGTGCGTCGGCCAGACGAGCCCCGAGCGCGAGGCCTTCGAATAGCTGATGTACGACGAGAACGATGAGGAGCAGGACGAGCTGCCTGGTGGTACCGAGTGTGAGGCCAACGAAGAAGCTGTGAAAGATGGCGCCGAATTCGAGAATCAACAGTGCCAGCATCTGACTCGCGCAGGAGCGATGGGGCACGTCCGTATCATCTGGCTCCCGAATCGTCGCAGACTTTTCCGAGGCCGCAGCCAATCTCTCCGCGTCAATTTCGGTGACCAGTGGCCCTTGCGTTTTGCCGCTGCTGCTGGTGGTACGAGAGTCATCCTCAACCGATTCCTTTGCTGCAGGGAATGGGTTGGGGTCTGCAGAAGACGCAGAGCCCGACATTGTGAACTTATTCGCCAGAATCTCAACAGAGAACATTGCCATGACCGTCCACAGGGCGATGGCAAATGCCCACGGATAGGCCCCCAGTCGTGGCTCGAGACATGGGTCCGACAGCTCGGCTGCAGCAGGGACCAGGAGATGCAGCCAGGCCGTGGCGATGATGACGCCGGTGCCGGTGTATTTGCAGATGGAGAATATAAGCTCTTGGATGCGGCTGGACTTGCTCTTCCGCGCGAGGCAGATGGGGATTATGGCGCCAATCGCCGAGGCTGCGAGGATGATGAAAATGGAGGCAATGCGCAGCTGGAAGTGGCTGTCCGCCTCGGCAACGATGTCGCAGCCACCCTCTACCATGGCGACGCTGCTTGCCTCGTGTCTTGCAAACGGCATGATGAACTAAGAAATCCTTTTGAAGGTCTTTGGTTGAAGATGGAGATTTTGTTGACAGGTGTCGGATTTGCTGGTGATTCACAGGGCATGACCTCGAGAATCAAGACCATGAGTGAGAAGGTAAGACAAATCATGTGAGGCAAACAAGCGCATGGTGATCATTAAATAAACGAACCTGATCGCGCGCAGAAATGGTAAAGAACGTCAAATTTTTTAAACTTTTCTTTTGTCTCGAGCTAGAATGGCAAGCTCAGGTAGTTGGTTTTTGAGGCAGAGTTTGGTCATGTTAAACTCGGGATGGTTTTTCTATGTCCGGATATGCTTTCAATTTGACGCCCGGGAGCAGGGTGAGGCTCTGGACGGTGCAGATGTCGAGAAAACATGATTCATAGGAAAAAAGTGTACAATAGTATTCTTTGAAGTTTACAACCTGCATATTAGTGAACCTTCTTCACTCGCAGCGGCCTCGAGGAGGTCTGATGAGAAAAATCACCAGATTTAGGGTAGCTTGAACACAAAAAGGGAGGTTGGAGGTGAATCGCGAGCCGATTATCTAAGCAGATTAGATAAGGTTCGGACCAATGAGGAAAAAGAAAAACAAACAAAATTTTCCGATTCTGCCAAAAACTTTTAGGCGGTGTGAATGACTGATCGCGGACCCACAGACTCTCTATAAAAGCTTCGCATCGCTCTTCGTCTTTTGCCTTTTTCTTCTTTCTTCTTCACGTCGACAATACTTCAGTATGTCTCCCCCTACCTTTGCACTCCACGCCTCGCCTCTTCTCGTTGCTAACAGCTGTCTGCAGGAGAATCATTTCTATAGTATTCGACCTTCTCTTGGTTTCCTACCGAAGCCACAGAATCCACCCTGGTTGATGAATGTATATCCTTGACACCCTAGAGTGAACACACCTTGGTCCTCTCGCTCTGTCCGCAAGGATGGCGGTGTTGCCCTCGCGGCGATGCTGTATAGAGATGGTAAACGGGGCTCTCGTGCCCTAATTTGATGATCTCAACCCTTTTCGCGGTCTGCCCTAGGGCGCGCGGTCTGGGTGGGTGTTGATGGACGTCTGACAGGCTTTTTCTTTTCATTGCTGCTCGGGGCTTGCCCTGGGTGTGAAGAAGAGACGACTAGCTCGGTCTACTCTGGGCTGGATGATTGTGCGTGATGGCTGTTGACGGGATGGTTGGTGGCTGGATGTTGAATTTTGTTATGTGTGCAGCAAATTTTTTCTTGACGAGGCATTCATAACTTTATTTCTTGGGATGCTAGATGGGGTTGATTCTACCTTAGCCCAGGTGCTATTGCCTGAATACTCCCATCTATAAGATGCATAGTCAATACGAGGCATAGCACAGGGTGGTTCATTTTATGCAAAGAACCATCGAACATCAAATCCCACAGAGCCCGTCTTCCCTCACAGAACGCTTTGGAAATATGGGGCTTCCACCTCGCTTCTGCCCTCGTTCCTCCTTCTCAATCAGGCTCATGTGATTGTTCTTCTAAGCCATTTATCCCTAAGTAACATCGCTTCAATTTGTGATGGGCTTCAACCGTAAGATTGTCAAGTTCGAGAAATGACCTTCTCCATCACGGATGAAAAAGTACGTAGTTGATTATGTTGATTAATATTCAAGTGATTGATATTCAACTAATTAATATTCCAGTTGAGAAAGATTATGAATTTGGGGTAATCTACAACTTCTCCAGTGCAACGAACAAGCGCTTCCCGTCATATTGCATCGTTCCTTTCGGCCTTGATGGTTCTAATGATCAATTTGCGCTTGTTTATATGTGTCCAGCTCCGCTAGACAACAACACCCTTGACCTGCTTGACATTCTTGATCTTGAGATCCCTCCAGACAGCGACAGAGCCGAGAGACACGATGAGAACGCAAGTGGCAGCAATGAGCATGTACCGCTGAGCCTCCCCGTACGCATTCTGGATAGCGATACGTGTGGGCGAGCCCTCCGGATACGACAGCTGGGTGACCAAGTTGCCGTAGATTGCCGTAAGATTTCCCTGCGACTCTTCAGGAAGGTGCTTAGCCAGGCTCTTGGGGAACTCGTTCTGCCAGATAGCGGAGGAGACGGTCGAGCCGATGGCGCCGCCGATGCTGGAGAACATGTACTGCATCGCGATGACGACGGCGATGTGCTGGTGCTCAGCAGCGGCCATGACGGCGACCTCTTGAGTAATCACGCAGGTACCACCGGCAAAGGCGATGAAGATCTGGCACATGACGATGTATCCGATGTTTACGTCGGGCTGGCGGAACTTGATCATCAGGCCTGCACCCAAGATCATGAGCGGCACACCAAAGAACAGAGCAAAGGGCTTGAACCGGCCGGTATAGCGGATGGCTAGACCGACTATTACACCCCAGAAGCAAGAACCCATGTTGTAGGTGTTGCTGACGTACGTGGCTTGGGTGACTGTTAAACCGTTCACGACCTGCAGGAAAGAGGAGAAGTAAGAGTTCCAGATGTAAAAGCTGATGAAATTGGTGGCTGCCAGGATGCAGGACCCGATGACTGTTCGGTCAAGGAGCAGGTTGTAAGGGATGAACGTGACGGGAGCAAACCACTTCTCGTAGATTGCAAAGGCGATGATGAGAAGACCACCGAAAATGATGAAGCAGATAATTAGAGGCGACTTCCATTGCTCGGCTTGATTTGGGTACAGGTTGAAAGCCAGCAAAAAGAGGGCAAGGCCAGCGGTAATTAGGAGAATACCGATGGCATCAAACTCGCGGCAGTAGTAGTAAAGGGACTGCAAGATATTGCGGCCACTCTTGGGTCTTTCAGGTAGAATGCCCTGCTTTCTAGCAATGCGCAGGTAGTGGACGAAAAGGATCCAGAGCGGGGAGAGCATGAAGGGTGTAATGATACAAAATGCACCGAACCCCCATCGCCAACCTGGGCCGTTGAGGAAGTCGGTAGCAACGTAGCCCGAGATCCAGGTGGTGATGATGTATGGCGTCTGGGAATAAGCGAACATCAGGCCTCGGTTCCGCAGGTGGGATGTATCCGCGATGAAGACTGTTAGGCAGAACATGAGACCGTCGTAGCCGACCCAGTAGAAGACCTGCGCGGCCGCGTACATCTCGACACCATTGTTGGCAGCCATGAGGATCAGGCCGAGAGTGAGAAAGACGACTGAGAGGAGGTATCCAGTTGGACGGCCAATGACATCAATGATCTTGGCAATAGTGAGACGTGAGACGCCGCCAATGATGCTGCTCATGATGCTTGTAGTTGGGGTGAGCGAATGTTGCAGATAGGAGGATGTGACATATGGCGTGAGTGCTCCCGTGGTGCCTTGCTGCAAGCTATCGACGAAATCTAACGATGCATAAGCAACCACGTTAACATAGCGATTGGGAATGATACATACAGATGACCCAGATCCAAACATAAGCAGCGATCAACGCCTTCTTGTTCCATACCATAGTGGTCGCCTCGATGTTCTGGATACCGGCTTGGGCATCTTTGTTGATAGGCTCATCCGTGTCATAGCCGTGTTGATGATCAGCATCATTGGTATCGACGGTGGCTTCCTCCTTGCGTGCCGCGGCCGCGTGGAAGTCATCGTCACCGGTCTGCCTGGTGCTATCAATCGCGGCTACATTGGTGGTTGTCTGGAGACCATCGTCTCCAACCTGCTTAGTAGCACCCATGATGGCAGATTCTCGTGAATGCGTCCCAAAGGGTAATTGCAGAGCCAAGGAGACGTCGAGGAGTGAGAAACCTTATCAATCAATCTGACAAGAAGGGGGGCAAGCATGGTTATTATGCGTCCGATGCAGGCATGAGCACATTTCAATGCAACGTCTACTCCTCCGGTAGGAACTTCCCGATTACTTTTGCCTCTGAACAAGCCACCCTGGTTATTGAATCCGCACAGTATCCCGTGATGAACACTTGAAATTTCTACTTTGAGATGGGTGGGGAGACACACTCGCCTGGTCGGTCGATGGAGGTTTTCATCACCCTGGCCTTGATGATTGATCGCTCTGCATGTGGGTATTCGCCAAGGCCATTTATTGCATTTGATCCTACCTGTAGCATCACAAGCCGGATAAATATGGAGACAAGGCAACGCAATTGCATGATGAAGGATGCGGTTTTCACAGCTGATATGCAGGCCGGTGCCCTCGGCTGCATAGCTTGCTCCAAACTTGACGGACCAGGTAGCCATGTGAGGAGGTGGAGTCTGGTTGGTCAGACGGTGCGGATCTGATAACTTAATAGGTCAGGGGTCGCGGAAAATCGGCACACGTCACAGTGTGCCGTACCTGAGGCATGATCTGCTCGTTGCAGTCTCTGGTTCTAATAATAAGGTGCTTTGGCGAGTGTAATTTCCGATCAGCAAGTTAAGGTATGGCATGTGAGGTCTTCTAATTTTCTCATTGCATTCTGGCAAATGTGACGGTATTACTTGGCCCTGTTACGCTCAAGGAACACGAATACTTACAATTGAATATCGACTACGTAAGCATTTGCTTTATGAAAGCCTGAGAGTAAACATCCTTGGCCGAATCCCAAAATGGTTGGTTCACATGAGGTTGTGAATGGCGGGAGCGTACATAATATGGCAAGGGTTCTAGACCCTCCCATGATAAATGGACCCCTTCAGATCGGAATCCATGATTTCTGGAACGCCTCTCGAACGATCAGCTGGATAAGCTGTAGCTGATATAGCTGGGTTGCATGGCATGCGAAAGATTTGAATCCCAGTCAATGAATAAACTGTAGAGCCTTCAATCTAGCCTTGGCAATGTTCTCATAGCTGCGTCTACGGCCTGACTTCTTGAGTCTGGCCCAAATTCTTCGTTCCTGTAGCCTTGAGATGGGGTTCGATATCCAATAGGTATTGGTGCAGGGGCCCATGCTAATTGGAGAGAACTTCAGCATGTACTTGTGAGCTGAGAATTTTCGACATGAAAGTTTCAACCCCACCGAGGGAAGAACGGGTCTCTGGACTGAGCAATAAATCGAAAGACTTTTAGAGACACTAAGATATCTTGAGCAAAACACCGAGAACGAGTCTTGAGCGAAACCGGACAGACGGCTCTCGACTAACTTTCCGAGGCGTATCCACAAAGAGCTTGGCCACATTTTACGAGCTCCCGTGTCTTTTTTTCCAGAGGCTCACTTGCCAGATGACTGATACGAGCGTGACTAACCTATGACCAATGGCTGTTTCCGATTCTATTATATTCTCATAGACACGAAGTTCCTGGGAACCATCAATGCTAATACTACATTTATTGGGACAGATCGTCCGTCCCATACATCTGGGTCAAGGTGGAACACAAATGTACGTAGTTGGGGCACTTGCGCGCATGTGGTTGAAAATAGGCTGATGGGAAGCCCGAGATCCTGTTTGAACCAGGGCCTCCCATGCCAGGGCACCATTTTTATCATTAGTTTCATGTTATCAATCAAATCCTCCGGGAGAAGCCTGATCGCTGAAAGAGGATGGAACTGATGAGTCTCAGGACGAAAACAAATCTATTGATCCTATCACGCTTTTGAAATAAAATGGCCAACTTTCACCAGACGAAATGTTCTTTTCCTTTCAGCCCATATCCAAACATGGTTTAGGCCGCGAAAAATCGATTCTTATGCGCCCTGGAGGCTCCTGGTACATCATTAACAAACCGAGCCTTCATCAGCACGTTACCCAAACTATCCATCTGGCCCCTAAACTGTCTGTTGGCGCGATCTGACTGCGCTTCAAGCCGCAGTGCTTGTGACAACACTGCTCGTTGCTCCGAGGCAGGCAAGTGGGCGAGGGCCCTCTGGTCACTGCTCCGCATACTGGAAAGCTGGACAGCCAAAGCTGCTCTCTGCCTCTCCTGTTTTGCCAATGCTTTAGATGGCGGATGGTCCTTGGGCAAAGCAGGATCCTCGCTAGCCCTTGAGGACTCGGATGCATCTGACTGGCTGGAGGCAGCAGGCGTAACGGATATGGATGGGGTATGTCTCGGAGGCTGTGGTTCTAGAGGCTTGCGAGATGGATGGCGGGGTGCTGGGGCTGATCGGTTGGATACAATCCTTCCCGAGGGTAGCCTCATGCTGGTATCGTCGACTTGGACCGGGGATGTCGAGGTGCCGCGACTCCAGCGCTGCACCTGGTTGTTTTCTTGGTTCTCATCGGATGAACTCGCTTCTGGCTCATCAAATTCGTAAAAGTCCCGGAACTCGGAATCTTCGTCTGAGATGTCAAATTTGCAGTGCCCAGTGCCCATCATATGTTGCTGAACTGCCTGTATGGTGCGGCGGCTCGTATGACAGTATAGACATTCCTTGTATTCGAAAATCACAAGATATAAGTATTCGAGCAGAGATTCTAGGTCCAGAATCAGATGCTCCTTGTCGGGAATAAACAACCCATGCCGTTTTTGCATATGTTCCAGGTTTCCTTCAAGACTGTCTGAAGGAGAATTGCAGAAAAGGCATGATACAGAGCTGAAGACTGGAGTTGCTTGCACAGCGGGAGTTTCCAGCTGAAATGGCAGCTCAGACATGGCGTAGCTGTAGGAGTCAAGCTGGGGCGAGGTAGGTTGTAATGAGAGCATCTGTTGGTTGGCTGTTGTCGTCGTCGTGGTTATTCCCGTGACCATTAAGTGATGAGAAAAGAGTTCAGTAGTTGAAGGTAAGCGACTGCTGCGTGCAAAGGTTTTAAGTGATGGATAACTTGTTGCTTTGAGGTTTGATATATTGGGCTATGAATGAAATTAAGGCAGCAAACCAGGCACTTAATATACGTTGTTCTCGGTCTCTCGGTCACAGATGAAGTGATGAAACTGCATGGCCAACTTCAGTGCAGTGGCGCTGAAGGATACTTAGTCGATATGAATCATAACGATTCACTTCCTAAAAAAGGAATGATCGTCTCTCCAACCCCCGTTCATCAGACAATGGAGCCAATGAAGAGCCGAGAAAGCAATATTTGGTGGGACCCTTGTCATCCATTTGTCGCTAAGAATGTGCCAGAGACACATCCGCACATCGCAAGTTCGGCCTATACAGGCTACCGAAACACCGAAACGCCGAGATAGGATTTGGGGCTATACTGGACCTCCTTCATGTGTGATAAAACTAAGGAAATGCGCCGCTCCGGATGAATCTAGAATTTACCACCGTATTCTATTCATTGCGAGTCTTTTAGAGATCTCGAAGGTAAGTTTGGGTTTCAATGAAAACCCTAGCCTAACGTCATCGACGATAAATACCAGAGCGGGAAACCCACTGCTAGAACAGATGCGGTATATTATATTGTGTTGCATTTACAAACCTAGCGTAGACCATGATAGAAGAAGTGATGCGACGGGAATCATGGAGATAAGGATCGGTGATGAATGTACTTGGGGGTGATGCTGACATGAAAGAAGCAGCCAGATCCGGTATTCCGACCCATACAGCACTTACCAGAAGCCTTTTGGGCGCGGACTGCGGTTGCCTTGCCCTGTAAGGCATCTCAGAGCTGTGAATCGCATTGGCATGGAAAATTCAATGCCACCTCCGCAACTCTCTCCCGCTGCTTTTTATTCCCTTCACAGCATCCCGCTCATTATTTATTATCCCGCCCTGGCCGTAAATCTCTCACAGATTCTATACCAGGCTCCGATGGAACAAGGGCCGCCGCCAGATTACAGCCCACCGCTATGGTCGCTACCCACTTCAGGTCGTGGCGGGGAACGTCCGGAGTACGTAAGGCCAACTCGCTTGTTGGATCATACGCAGACGACTCCATACGAAATGCAAAGAGTTCCAATCATCAAGGCCGGCCCGCAAGAACCTTTGGTCACATCACCCTATCCGCCTTTCTACGCTCCAATACCGGCAACCCCTGAGACGTGCGTTCCAGAGCCCCGGCACATACACAGATTCGGGTCTCAGCTTTCGAACAACACATTTGGGTTAGGAGGATCACTCAGCCGGAGGTTCAGCAAGCGCAAGATACCGGTTGAACCGCCGGCCGAACTACCGGCTCCGTTGAAAACTACGGATGAAAGGTCGGCTATTCTGTTGCTATTATTTGTTACTCTATTGCTTATTGTGTGCAGCCGCGATCCAGAGCCTGATGGAGATCTTCCCAAGAACCCCTTGTTTTCCTCCATGCGCAATCCAGAACCAAGCTATCCAGATAATCCACGCCAGGGTCCGCATCCCAAGATAGTAGGCATCCGACGGGAATTGTATGAGATCAAAGACGAGATCCAGGCAATTTCAATTCTCCTAGAAACCCTTTTTAAGCAGGTACCCAAAGCGAAGAGACCAGAGGATGCAGACAGAGCTATCGAGGCCTTACAGACATTGGGTTCAGCCATCGGAACCAGTCTTACAAATGATAGTTCCGATTGGGCCAAGGCTGGCCCCGGATCAGAGAGGAAGAGTGAAAATATTTCCTACGACTCATTTTCCAACCTCTCACCGGAAGTCCTCCATGAATTGGCTAACCACTTGAAGAAATTTCGGGAAGACATGGATGTACACAGTAGTCTCCCAACACGATTCAGAAACAGCAAGGGGGAAATGCTGAATTATCAATTGTTCATACTCATCGAAAATGAAGAGTTGGCAAAGTTACTAGGCATATTCGACCTTTTGAAGAATATGCTCCAAGAGCAGAGTTGTTAGGAACGCTACGCCTTTTTATCTAGTGACCCATAGGCTTAAGCTACCTATCTAATAACATATCTGAGGCCAGCCTTCAGAATGGAGAGAAAAGAAGGAAAAAAGAAAAGCCTTGGACTGTAGTCCCATATATCAATTGTATCCTAACCTACTCCAAGCAATTCCGACATGAGATTTGCACATAAACGAAGTGCTCAGCGAGATAGTCAATTTCGCATTTTGGAGCCAAAAGGCGGGAGAAACGTATGATTGAGAGAAAGGATAATGGCTAGGACGTACTGACAAGCAAACTGCCATCTTGGAAATTATGACCCCTTTTCCTCAGAGATTCTTAACCGGGAATCTGTTCCTCAGATTTTCGCCCCATTTGATCATCCCAAATGCTATTGGAACCATAAGAATAGCAATGAACCCTAGCAAGCTATTTCCCCAACCTATGTCTAGCTTTTCGAACATTGGAAGACCAGCCAAGGGCAGCAACGCTCCAGCGATAGATCGGACAACAGTATTGGTGGCAAGTGCCGACGCGGCGTAAACTGTAAAAGAGTCGACGATGTACATCTGGATAGCCAAGAAGATGAGTAAATTCCCAACCCCGATAGGGACATGGGAGATGATGGGAACAATCCAATGGACGCGGTATTGGGCAGTCCAGCCATATATGAACAGGCCGATTGGGACCAGCGCAGCACCCAGAGGTAAGAGGGGGAGGCGGTATTCTGGTTTCAAGTTCAACTCGGCCCCTTCTTCGTTGGACTCTTCCCGGGCCTGGGCGGCTTTCCTCTTCAGGTACTTATCTGATGTCAGGCTAGAGACCCCAACGCCCACCATGTTGCCGACTCCCAGCCCGAGGTAGGCCAATCCAACGGTGCCAGTGCTGAAGCCGTATGTTTCCTGGAAAACTGTTGTCATCGTTGTGAACATTAGATAGAGATACCCATAGCATATCGACATATATAGTGATGTTATCAGAATGATGGGAGAGCGGACGAAAAGTTTGAGCGGACGGATGATGCCTCTTTTGAAGTAGTCCCCCGAAGACAGACCGATATCGAGTCTGGAGTGGAGAAGCTCATTGCCGGTCTCCTTCCGTAGCCTCGCGGCTTTGCGCTCTAATATAACATGAGCGTAGCTCTCTCTCATCGTGAACACCATGATGATGGAAAGAACCCCAGAGAGAATGGCCAACAGCCAGAAGGTCCAGCGCCAGCCAGCCGCTTGAGTAAGGAAACCTCCAGAAACAGGGCCAACGATTGGCCCAAACAAGGGCCCTATGCTGTAGATGGACATTGCTGCACCTCGATACTCTTGAGCGACCATGTCAGCGATGGAGCCTCCGCCTATTGTGACTGTGGCACATCCAAACAGGCCGCTGAAGAAACGGATGACGATTAGGGCGTTTAGGGAGGGAGCAAGCGCGCACCCAACGGCGAAGGCGACAAATCCTAGGTTGCAGGCGTGATACACCGGGATCCGTCCGTAAATCTCGGAAAGGGGCGCGATGATTAGAGGCCCAAAAGCAAACCCGAGGATGTAGACAGACACGACAAAGGACGCAATTGTCAATGAGCTGGATTTAAACTCAGCCATGACCTCGGGGACACTAGGAGCGAAAATAGCTATAGAGAGGTTAGCACGAAGGAGATGACAAAGTGCGAGATGCGCAATGATAGTTTCTTACATGAGCCAAGAGGCGCGACGAAAGTCATTGCGCTCACCAGCCCGCAATTGAAGATTTTCTTCCAAGTTGGCCAATTATACGGATTTTCAGGGTCATTGGGACCATCCCACCAGACTTCGTTCGAGTCGACGTCGCCCGCACTGTCTTCGACCGAGTTGTCTCCTCCTTCCAGGTCGACCCTTTCCTTTGAAGCGATGGATCTTCGCCTGGATGCTAGGGAGAGCTTGCGCTTCTTCTCCCCCCGTGCGTCGAGGATGTAGCCAGCACTGGATGGTATGTCTGCATCATGGCCTTCTTCGATCGCCTGGCTTTGTTTTTTCTCAAGTTCATGTATGTCTTCTTCGTCGCTGGGGCCTTCTCTAGGGCTGTTCTCAGCACTTGTTGATGTTCTGCGCGACACCATATCTGCTGGGAGGATGTTTATCGATTTTCTTGAAGACTGCAAGTTTCCGAATGAATTGCGGAGGCGATGAGATTTTCTCCTCAATCTGCCATCGACCAGGACTTACCGGAATTAGGCGGTAATGATGGCGACTGTAGCATCGACATCTGTGTGTTTTCCCTTGCAGTTCCGGAGAACCAGCCAATGACTGTTGACAAACGCCGCGGAAAAGTCCACGGACTTCGTCAAATTGGTCGAAAAGGGACAAATAGGCCCCGCAGGATGCAGCGGTGCCGATAGCCGTAATTTGCCAACCCCAGCCTATCTGACCTGACCCCTGGATGCTTCTCCGTTGAGGAGTAGTGCAGTAGCTTGCATTCTGAGCCTGATGATTCAGATATGCATGGGCTCTAATGTTGACGGCAAAAAAGAATTTACAATCTCTGTAAAAGACTTGATATTGCGGGAGAGAGGAGAGACATTTGTGTAGCCAGTTTGCCAGCCCCTGTGGTTTCATGTAGTAAGAGTATGATTATGACGTGTCCGAATCCTGGCCACCCTGCAAGCAATACTGACAAATGTTACTGTTGGATGATTTTATTGATCTTTAAGTTATTCATCGAGTTCCCCAATATCCGTTCTTTTATTTCCTTCTGCTGGAGATAAAGACAAGATCTGCTCTTGAGAAAGCTCACCCCTTCTGGGTGTAGTCCCGAGCATCCTCCCACTCGTAGACCAAGTCTGTCCGAACGGTAAATTTCTGCCCTTTTGTTACTGGTGCCCCCTCATGATAAAGACCTTCGTGCTGGAAAATCAGCACGCTCCCCGCCTTCGGGTTAACATCGATCCGACGCTGATCATCCCAGGACAGGAAGCCAGTCGCGCCGCCCTCAAGATCGCTGTCCGCTGATACCTTGGCTGAGTCGTTGAGGTATAGATGCACCGTGTACCGCGTTTGAAATTCCTTGGTGCCTTCGTCATACCAATATGCCCCATCGCAGTGCGCTGGCAGTTTCTCGTCAGTACAGTCAAACGAGATCAATGGGGCTGTTTGTACAACTTTTATGGACTCATGAAACCATGACTTACGTTTGAAGTAATGACCCGGAGAGTACCGCAGAAATCTCATCCTGTTGTTAATCCGGCTGAAAACCCATCTACCAGGTGCTCGCCCCTCAGATCTATCCTCTTTTGTGCGTTCTGCCACGGCTAGCTTCTCCTTGAGCCCTTCCACTTGGCAGCATCGATTCCAGACGAGGTCCGTGACCGTCTGACTGTCCCAAATAATCCGGTCGCTCTCTCGATATCCCGGCGCAGGTGCCTCAATGCCCGGCGCGATGGACACCATGGCAGGTCGCCAAGGGTTTTGATTCGCCGACTCACTACTGCCCGGGGCCTGAGCCGATTGTTCAGCTAGCTGAATCAGCTCCTTGCACTCGGCCAAGGAAAGAACATTGTCGAGGACAACGGCGAAAGAGCCATCGTATTCTGGTACAGGGGAAGAGCCAAACGGGACGTGCGCGAGAGTTATAGGCTTCTCCGAGGGCCCTCGAAGGAAATCGTTAGGAATCTCGACATCATTGGATGTGTATGTGGTTCTACGCGCTGTCATTGGGTCGGCCATGGTGATGAGGCCGTGGAGTTGTCAGCGGTTGCTTCCGCTGGCAGATGATGAGTGAAATGAATGCGAAATGAGAGAGGAAAAAAGGATTTTAGTGGCTCAGTGACTGTTTTCATTTGACAAGTGCATGATCTGACAATAATTAATCTCACGTGTTGGACTGGCTGGTGCCTAATAGTAGGCGACTTGGATGTGGCTGAGCCATAGCGTAGGACTCTCGTGAATGCGCCGCCTGTGCCTAGACGCCACCTGCAAAGGCCTTTGAAAGAAATGTCGTGGCCTAAACAGTGACAAGGATTATGATTGTAACCACTCGCTACGGGCTTGGAGCCACTAGCAGAGAAGCTGGTTTCAGAAGCTACAGACTGTCAGACTGATGAGTCCGATCCCACCCCACAGGGGCTGGGGTCAGGGGTAAATTTAACTTTTTAAGCAGCGCAGCGCAGGACTATTCTATTGAAATCAGTGAAGTCCTTTGCTCTCCATCTCCATCTGTCTGTGCCAGGAGCCATCTCGCTCACTGGTGCTCTGCTCCGCTGCTAAAACACACTGCTCCCTGGCATGATGCCGAGAAAACGGGCTTGTGATTCCTGCCACGATAAAAAGGTAAACGATTCGTCGATGAATTTGAGCACACCAGCTAATAATATACGACTAGATTTCATGTGATGGAGGCACCCCGCGATGTGACTGGTGTAACCACCGCAGTCTAGACTGCACATATCACCGGACCTCCGCATCTGGCCGGAAAAGGCCGCAGCCAGCTGAGTGTGTACTTGGAAAATCACATTCACACCTCTGATCCTAACGCAAATTCTCTCTGCGCAGCTTCAGCCTGCAAGATGAAATCGAGCAACGGCTTGAACGGTTGGAAAGCCTGCTCCAGGGATTACGGCGAACAGACCGAGGCGACCCATCACCACCCGCGGAAAATAGTGACAAACTTCCGAGCAAGAGTCAGCCTCCTTCACATGGCGGCATCTTCTACGGCAGTCTCTATTTCGCTGGCTGCCATCTCGGAGACATCAGCTCTCGAAATGGGATCCCAATCTTCTCCGATGAAGGGCGAAAATGGGTCCAGGACAGGACAGGCGAAACCGCGGCGTTGGAAGGCGCACAAGAGCTGAGCCCAATGGACTTGGATTTAGCCCAGAATAAGCTGAGCGATCTTGCATTGCTCAGTGGCCACAATCCAGCTCCTCCCCTGCCCACGAAGGATACGGCTCAGTGTTGTCTTGATATCTTCCGAGCGTCAACTCTACAGGTCGTGTTTCCAGTTGTTGACTTGGGCACGTTCCAAGATACCATAGACCGAGCGTACGAGGAGACCACCGAATCGACTCGTGCCATGGTTTGCGTTCTTTCGTTCATCTCATTCCTTTCACTTCTCGAGCCGCAGAAAACTGCAGAATTACTGCCCGATGTTGAAATGTACGCTGCGAAAGCGCAACAGTTGCTTCTACTGACCATGGCTGAGCCAACGATAGAGGGCCTCCAGGCCGCGCTTCTGCTGGTACGTAAGACATGTCATCTTTTGGAGAATACGCTGACATGCCCTTCTCCCAGTGTTTATACCTCGACTTTTCGGGCCAGCTTCAAGCAGCCTCGATGCTCCATTCTCTGGCGTCACGGAGCTTGTTCATGCTCGGGGGTCATCTTAAGCCGAAGCCACCCTCTGGCGCGACCCCTGACGATGCTCGTCTACGTCACCTGCGTACATTGTTCTGGCTCTGTTATTTCTGCGACAAGCATATCTCGCTTCGCACCGGCCAGCCACATGCTATAGCAGATGACCAATGCGACCTTGCGCTTGGTGATGACTATACCGGCCTTGATTTCATCGATCTCAAGATGGATGGCCCAAGCCTGACGCATTATCTTCCCAAGCCCCTGCAGCCCAGCGATCTGGGTCTGACCATCATCAAGTCGAAAGTTTTCAGCTTACTCTTCACGCCGAGCGCCCTGAAAAAGTCGGATACGGAGATCCTGCACACTGTGCGCATGCTTGACGAGGAGCTCGAGAGATGGCGCATGTCTGTGCCGCAGTCTGTACGCCCCAGCCTCTCTTCCGTGGCTGATCCGGCGGACCCGAGCTTACAGCACGAGTTCGGCATGCTGTTGATATTTGTACGCTTCGAGTATCTCTATCTCTTATCCGCCATTCATAGAGCGTGCGGGAGATGTCAGGCGTGGTCTGTCGATGGCGGAGTTCCCAACGCGGTGAGGTCGAGTCTCTTGCTCTCCGTTGAGGCAAGTCGCTCGACCTTGGTCTACCTCAAGGTGGCCTCAGAAATGGTGCATCGGGAATCTTTCTGGTAAGTAAGCGTACCCAAGACTCTTCTAACACAGAAATTGATCGATCTACTCCTCAGGCTTGTCATCTTTTACCCTCTTTGGGCATCTGTGACGTTGTTCTGCAACATTATTTACAAGCCGTCGGCCCGGCACGCACAGAGTGATGTCGAACTTGTCAGCGCTGTCCCTTATTTGCTAAAGAAGCTGAGGGCGCGGGAGCCAACTCCTAGCGAAGCTCTGCACTTACAGAGACTGGAGACATTCATCGCTGAGCTAATTCACTTGGCAAACAAGGCGATTTATAAGCATAGAATTGAGAATCCAACCGCGCGGGGCAAAGAGTAAAGTCAATTGGTAGTTCTAAAATCTATGGTACGGTTGTATATTCCAGTATCAGATCCCTTCTACCATGCCTTGTAAGCCTTTTCGACCGACGGACGACTGACGAGGCGCTGGTGCCAGGCTACAAAGTTTGGATATTTCTTCTCAATTTCATATGCCTCCCAGACCACGGAGTTCAAGATGGGATGTCCCTGAATCACCCTGTTCCATGGTACAAAAGACAGATCGGCGTACGTGCTGCATTGTTGTTAGCTTACTGTTTTTATGCCGTTCCATTTTGGGGGGAATATCCAAAGGCCGGGATTTTATGTACAGAGAACGACTTACAGCTTGTTATTGACGAGATAATTCTTGTCCTTCAGTATGTTGTCAAGCACTTCGATGACACGAACAATTTGTTCGTTGTATCGGTTCTTGGCGAGAGGAATATCTTCCGGGGCTTTGTGAAACCACATTGATTGTCCGTAGTAGGGGCCCTGTGCGGGAATATGTCAGCATCGGAACACTTTTTACCTTAATGTCGTGTGATGGGTATGTACCTGGCCGGACATTTGAAAGTGCAAGTATTGCTTGAGATGCCACTTTCCAGCGACATCCTCCACATTCAGCTTTCCCTCCTTGTCATAAGTCTCGACGAGGTACTCGACAATGGCACCAGACTCCCAGAGAGTGATGCCACTGTTGGGATCAACAATTGCAGGCAAGCGACCATTGGGGTTGATAGCAGTGAACCATTGCTCCTTGGGGTCTTTCACAACCACGGCCTCGTAGGGAGTTCCCAATTCCTCCAAGACAATGATGACTTTGTAAGGATTGGGCCCACCCTCTGGTAGATGTAAATGCATGTTAGATATGCGACCTGGGCGAAATCTAAAGCTGCAGTTGGAACAAATACATACCGTGGACGTAAGTGGTGATTGGCTTCAAGTCGCTCATTTTGAAGAACGATGGGGTGTTTAAGTGGCGGATAATGAAGATGAGGCTTTGGAACTATGCGTCTTAGTATTGTGACGTGAGTGATGTCTGGATTCGATCATGTCGTTTTTGGGCATTATAGCATTGATTTTATATCCAATCCCCTGGGTAGGATAGGGAAGAATGTTCGCTTACGACGTGCAGACTGGGCTAATCTTGATGAGAAATCATTTTGGACTGCCGCTGTCCGCTCGGTGTCCGGCTAGACAGATCTGAGACGATCGATCAACCGCCTTTTTCGGCCCGGCGCCTCGCGAAAGCGACCGAGGACCCCATCTTTCAAAAAGCCGTGCTCTTAATAAGCGGCCAACTTTCGCCGAGCGCGATGTGGAGGAGACCGCCAGCAGGGATCAGGTTTGTCGATCGCTGTCATTCTCTTGCCCTGCAGTAATCTAAACCTCCAAACCTCCTGCCAATGCCTTGCCAATTCTCTCAATCTCTGGGGACACTGGTGAAACCCCGAGCATCTTGAGCCGTGTATCCGTGATAGGTTACCATTTATCACTAAACAAGAAAATAACGAGGTTTTTATCATACGATGCATGCATTGGGCATTTACGTCTTATTTGCGAATTACTAGGGGAAGAATTATAGCTGTCTCATGATGTTTGAAGTATATATTGTTCGTTTTCCCCCTTTACCTAAGAACTTTCTCCTCCTCCAAACAAGTTTATCTAAGAGACCAATCTCCAACTTCTTAAATTTCTGGATCACCCTAAAGAATTTAATTTACCTACCATGAATATCATCAAGACAATTTACGGACTCTGCATTGTTGCTGTGGCAGCAGCCAAGTTGCTTGAAAATCCGGGTTGTGGCGATATCAATGTTCTCTACACGTATGTGTCCGCTAAAATGTACTATCTACTGAAGAATTTGGAACCAGGCTAACTCGATAACCTCAGAGGTTTTCCAGCATACCACCCCTACGTGGTTGAGCAAGGATGGGATCCAGTCGCGGTGGATGCCGGCCTTCGCCAAGACGCCCAGAATTTGATCGATGCTGGATACAACACCCGAAGTGAGTGTGATAGTTCGATGTGATACACAAGAAGCAATATAATGTTGTTGCATGGACTAACGAGGCTTAGTCGTTCTCATGGGACCTGACCAGGACATCAGCCAACTTGAGGCCCGTTTTCAAGACGTTGAGTTCCACGTGACAGGTATTGGCTTCGGTATGAGGCCTGCAACGATCCCCGAGATCATCACTCGCTTTGAGGGTGCGTCTGATCCCCCTTGATATACAGCCGGCACGACGATGACGCTGACTTGCTGGCCGCAGATAACAACTTCCTGTTCCGAAAGACAGTCCCGGACACACCTACTGTGTACAACTATGACCCGAACACGCTGCTCTGGTCCGTCGCGCGTCGGTTTCCCATTGAGGAGGACTGCACCAATAAGCCTGGAAAGAACCTTGTGAGCTCTGGATACTTGCTTTTGCTTTGCTCGCGTATTTAACGTGTTGGCCAGGGTTACGAAGAGATCTGTGATCAGAGGTGCGAGATGAGCAAGATCGCCTGGAACTTGCGACAAGTTGCGTTGGGCAAGAACAGCACCATATCCAACGAAGCTGCCAGCGGAATCTAGACCCCTCATCAGACTTGGCTGCTTGAATTCTATTCGGGATGATTTCAATCGTTGTTACCACCGCAGGGGGGCTTTTGTTGTAAGATGAAGGCTCTCAAGCTCCTTGAAAATACCCACTGGCACAACTGGAAGGAAGTTTCAACTGAAAAAGTGGCAAAAGGTCGATGTAAATTTAGGCAGAGATGGTTGGTTCTTGCACTCATTCGTGCAGAGATTGATTATAAATGTGTCACAAACATACCATCTCGTTTTTTTCCTGAAATTTCATGAACATACGGACTGGAATGTTGGACCCGCCATCTCCGAACTTGTACGCCGCTCCGTCTCCAACACGACTGCCCGGATTGGAGCTGGCTGACTTGCGCGCCCAGACACCACGGAATGTCACTGGAGGCATATTTGAGGTCAAAGAGCAGAGACTTTTGCATACCGGCCATCTAATCTCCCCGACTCATTAGTCCGTGTCCGCTTGATGCTGCGGACTTGTGCGGAGTAGAAGCGAATGTGGCGCCAAACGCTTTCTTGGCTGAGATACGGAGTCCGTCTCTGTCGACTCAAACACCAGGCAGTAGGCAATAAATAAAACAATTAAGATATCCAAATCTATTCTGCATCTCCTCAGAGCAATTGTTCTTCTGTGCATTCGACTTACTGAACCGTCTTGTTTGAAAAAGTTCATTCTTTACAATGGGGGTCAAGGCTGCTTTTATTGGGGCTGGCGGAGCTACGCTGATTCATGTGCTTCGATGGACGCTGCTTGCCGGACATCATGCCGCTGCCCGTAAGCTATCTTACCGTCATATGGAGTTGTTTTTCGTACTGATATTTCTAGTTGTGCGGAACCCCGATAAGCTCAAAGAGGCCCTATCAAGTCAGGGTGTTTCCGAGGAGATCCAGCAATCTCAACTGACGATTGCCAAAGGATCGTCTCGTGATGTGAAGGCAGTCGTTGGACTTCTTCGCTGCGATCCAGAGCTCATCTTCAGCGGCATAACAAGCCTCCCAAAGTTCGGCTTTAATCCATTCCGGCCTGTCGGTATGCAAGATGCCACAATCACTGGTGACTCGGCTGCTGCGGTTGTAGAGGCTCTGCGACAGCTCAGATCTACCAATAGCATCACGAACGCCCCTTTGTTTGTACCCATTTCCTCCACCGGACACGGCTCTCAGCGTGACCAGCCACTACTTCTAATTCCGCTTTATCTGTGGCTTCTGCCAATCCCACAAGCAGATACAGCAGTTCTGGAGAAGGTCACTCGGCAAGCAGCGATAGAGGCTGATTCACCTTTGGGTGGATACGTTATGCTCCGTCCACCACTGCTTACACATGGTCCAATGAAAGGCACCAATTCGATTCGTGTTGGATGGATCTGGGAAGACCCTGTTTTCAAGAAAAGCGATGAAAAGGAGCAGGGTATTGAAGTGGGCTACACCATTAGTCGCCTGGACTTGGCTAAATGGATGTTTGATGAGCTCGTTCAAGGGGACGCCAATCGCTGGAAGGGTAAATGCGTCAACATTACGTATTAGACGAAACCAGGTCTATTATTATCATCTATTGTCTAATCAGATTTCTTTGTATAAGAAAACGGATATTGAATACGAAGGAAGTGTCGAATTTGTTGTCCGATCAAATAGCTCGCACAATATGTATAAACCCGGAGAGCCAATTTCATTCAACTCACGCCAGTTTCTTGATGATCTTTTGACCGGGGCCAGAAGCACGGGAGATCTGGAAGTCTTCCGTTCAACTCACATTTCATATCTCTGTCTTCGAGCCGCACTTCCCCCCTCATCCCCTGAGGCAGATGATCCCTCACCTTCGTTATCCGTCTCTTTTCTCATCGCCCGTTGATTTAACAAGTAGTACTGAATATGCGCCAGTACTCCACAGAAGAGAGCTGCGGACAATAACGCAACAGAGATGGTCCAGGCACGGCGGTAGATAGGTGCATCGCTTTCGCTGAAAATAGGGCCACCAACAATCCCTGCGCAATTAGCTATCATAATATAGACTGCCATTGTAATGCTTCTCTGCTCGGCATTTCTTGAATTGAGTGCAATCCAGGAACCGTTTATCGGATCTATTAGGAAATCACGTAGTTAATAACTGAGTCTGTAAGAAGGACGGTTTTGGACAACTCATGCACTTACGCCAGACCCCCACGAAAGAAAGAGCCAATGTCAGGACAGCATAACGTACTTCCTTGGATGGGTTATCAACAACAAGGTATGTGACAAGCTGGAAGACGATGGTCAGCCGGGCGTTCAACCGCTAATTTTTACAAAGTAACGTCTTACCATAAATAGCCACCACATGCCGAGTCCAATCATCATAGAAAGACCTCTCATACGAAGTCGATCGCTGTGAGACCAAAATCAGCACGATAGTCATCACCAGTAGTTAATAGGCAACATACGCTAGGTATCCAAAAGCCGGGTTTAGAAATAACTGGATCCACGAGCCAACTGAATTCAGAGCATTCGAAGTCAATCTCTCATACCCAAAGCTGTTGATAATCGTAGGGCCATAGGACGATATAGCATTTGCCGGCGCGTTTCCTAAAAGTGCAATAAGAAGATGAGGGTAAATAGTCCAGTTTGTAAGAGTCGAGATGACATCTCCAACAGTGACGGAGCGACGCTTCTGCAGTGTAGTTGGGTCATCTATTACCACTCGTTGGCGAGCAATATATGCTTCTCGTTCCGTGAAGAACCCAATCCGACAGAGACTCTTTAACGAAGAGAAAGGGGTCCCTGGGAAAAGTAAAGCAAATGACAAGCCCACTAGTATTGCCATTAGGCCATCAATTATCATGAGCCATTTCCAGCCGGCCAGGCCAGCAGCGCCACGCATTCGCAGAAGACCAAAAGCAACGAGACCGCTACTTGCTCGCGCGACAGAGTTTCCCATGAAGAATATGGAGAATCGAGTGCTAGTCTCCGATTTCTTGTACCACATGGTAATACTGTAAAGTGAGGCCGGGATATAGCCACCTAGGGAGATACCAAGGAGTATACGGGTGGCCAAGTAAGCCCCTAGACCTTGTTGGAGCGCCTGGAGGATAGAAACAAGACCCCAGGCTAGAATCTGGGCAGTGATCCAGATCGAAGGTCCAAGTCGGTAAAGAATCATGTTGCTCGGGACTTCGACTAGGATGATACCCACAGACAGCAGCTGCTGGCCAATGTTGAACTGGTCTTGGGTTATACCTGCATCCTTCAAGAAACCATCGGTAAGGGCATTTGCAATGTTCCCACGATTGAGTTGAAGGACATAAAATCCTGCCACCAAGAGCGGCATGAGGAGAAAATCAATCCTGAATGAAGGCGGATAGTCAGTTTGTAGAACAAAACCGAGGAAGGCTCGAATTTGACATTCCGGCAGATGATCTTACTCACTTTCTCAACACTCTCTCTTCTTCCTCCTTTGACCAATCAGGGACATTTTGCAACGCCGACAATTCCCCTTCGGTTTCATCTCGATGATCAATTCCCATTGTTTTGAGGTCTTGCTCGCCTTCACGGCTTCCGATTTTTTCCTTCTGTGCCGCTTGAAACATCTTTGTTGTCAATGAAGAGACTGCTAGGTTGCTGTTTAGGTTACATGTTCAGTTCTGTGCCAAAGGGCTCATTTTATATTCAGGTTGAAACTTGTGAAGAATAAGAATCAAGGAGAACAAGTTGTTGGTTAGTGAATAATGATATCTCCGGCTATCTTCCTTAGTGCATGATAAGAAATTCCGCCTATCATTAGATATCTCCGGTGGTTTAGTTTGATGTGTATCATCTACTCCGCTAAACCTTGCGGGGAAATCTAGTCAACTATTAAGTCTGGAAAGGCTGGGGCGGTATGAATCAAAGGCATCAATCAACACAGCAGGGAAATTCTCTCCAGGAAATCCGGACCATAGATCTCCCTCCCGGACTTCCATGGTGCCAATTCTGTAACACAATGAGTATCGTTGGCTACATCAATGGGCTATCGCAACATGTATATCTCTGAGACGCCATCGGCAATCCAGAACCAACCCAGGAACTCCTGAGCATTTCCTGAATTATAAATTACTACTTGAATGCAGGACTTGGAGATAATAGGCTAGGCTTTGGATCAACACCCGTAAAATTCATATTCATAGTTTGCCTGTTATATATCTATTCGTTAAAAAGGTTTGGTGTGAACTGTTGTTTCTAATACTTCTTGCTAGTGACTATGGCAAACTCGGATAATAGTCCTCTGTGCTGACGTCTAGAAGTGCAGTCACTCGTGCTAGGGCTTTCTCCAACGCGAATTCTACAGCCGAAGATACCCTCCTTGATATCTCACACCTTTGTTCCAGCGACTTGAGCTTATCATGAACATTCATTGGAGTCAGGCCATCGGGAATATTATCGTATTTGCCCAATACAAGCAGGGAGTATCCAAGACTTAAGAGGTAAAATTCAGGTATGCCGTGATAGAAAGCGCTGGAAAGTGAGAGGAAGTCATGGAGGACATTGCAGGCCCACTTGTATAGAATGGACTCTGTCTCCTGACATGATGAGCTATTTGCATAATCTGGTGTAAATGGAGAAGCTTGCGTAGCAAGATTCACAAAAGAGCCGAGATCGCCGTTGCGACGTTGGACCTCAAGAGATCGACGTGTTAATAGAAGCCAGGCAATTGAGTAGCTCATACGCAAAACACCAGAAGTTGGAAGGTCTAAATTTCAACGCAATAGGAGTTAGATGGTTGGAAAGTCTTTTGGGTCTCTTTGCAAGTTGATGCTCACCAAATAAGTATGACCATTTTTCTTTCCACGTGCAGAGTGATGTAGAGCTACCATTTTTGTCTAACAGGTCATTTGATTCAAAATGTTGGTGCAGTACTCTGAATAGTTTCACTTCTGCAACAAGCATGCCGTCCCTCATTGTTGCCTGTTCGAAATTCAGAAGTAATTGGCTTTGTAGAAGGTACGCTGCGGGGATTGTTGGTGGGCGACCGGTGATTGCGGCCCAGCTATGCAACGATCAACTGGATTAGTTGAGGAAATGGTCTCTCGAGATGTGAATCGACTAACTGCAAATTCACAAGGCAAATAATTGCCCACGTTCTAGCCGCCCTTTGATCGGCCGAGGTGGCAAGGCCGGAGTTCACCCTCTCTGATATGTCAGAGAAGTTGATGCTAAGCATCGCTTGCTGAGCGCAATGTCCACTGAGTAACCAACTGTCGATATACTCTGGTCCGCGCTAGAATAAATAACGAAGCGCAAAAGAAAATCAGTCTCCGTATGATATACCTGGATCTCTGGTACTTACTGTTGGCGCAGTAGCGTACATCGCCATAAGTAAAATGCCCGTTATCTCCTCAATAGGCAGGGGCGTAACTAGCATTGCATCACCGAGCATCTGTCGCACCGCTTCATACACTTGTCTATGAAGCGGTGTTCCATCCAAATGCGAATGCTTGATGCCATGAAGACAACATACTGCATGTAAGAAAGGCGACGTGGCCCGAAGGCCTCTCCCTGATGCCAGGTCCCGTTCCTCCTGGATGAAGAGGCTATGCCGGCATTGTGTTATGAAGCTGCAATTGTGAGTCAGCAGTCGTAGATAGGTTCTCTAAGCCTTTAAGCTTATGTCGATACATACATTTGCATAACCTCAGTTGCAGTTTGCTCATCTAGTAGACCAATGGAAAGAAGGTCTTGGCTACGATCGAATGTTCTCCGTTGGCCATCATTCAATACTTTGCCTACTTTTCGGATCACCTCTGCAGGCCACGACGAGACGTTTTGATCAATATGACCAACATACTGCGAGCCATCTCGGCTTTCCAGATGGTCATCTTTAGCAGAGAAATGGCCACTTGAAGTAGCAGGGTTTGGTACATCAGGAGTTTGACTAAGTTCTGGATACTGTGGCGAGCTAAGTTGAACCATTCGCTCTTCGATTCGTTGTAATCTAGAAGAGCGTCAGTCCCATATACTTCTCGGTCAAGTATATCTGAAGGGAGGGATCTGTGTCGATTAAACAACCATAAATCGTAATGGGCGGGGACGCGCACCTTAATTCAACTTGGCGTTTATGTGACAATGGTGGTGAATGAGTAGATGCAGAGCCACTTTGATCGGTGGATTTGGAACAAGTGAGCCTGCATGGGATGTCAGCCGAGTGATTTTCCCCTCTGGTACAGCAGTTATTACTGTAATGACCGGCACCTGTTACAACACTTTTGCCCATCCTCGACCAAGCACTGGGTCTTGAGCCGACGGCAACTGTCACAGGAGATAACACGGCGCCTCCTACGCCGAATCGGACTATGACCGCGCGGAAGATACTGACTATCTCCGCTTACTCCATCTGTTGTCAAAGATCGAGGGGAACCTAGGGATGGGCGGCTCATTTTGATATGCTGAGGAGTGTATTGACCATGAATGGACGAGGGATGAGGGATGAGGGGAAATGGCGAGATGCTGGCCGGGGTAGAGCGGGGAGTTAAAGATCTGTTGTTTTTCCCTAACCAATCGGAGCTCTTCTTGGCCGGGATAAGATATCCGTGGGCGAGTGGGCGGGGAGAACAAGCCGGAGTCTACCAATATGGCGGAGATAAACCGGGGAGCTAGGCGCGGTTTGTTCCCCTATCCTTGAATATCCGACCAGAGAACTCTTTATTACGTACGATGTAGCCAGAGCATATCTATAAATCCCTCCTCTTAGCTTGACCTGGTAGGTTTTTATCATTGACAATCACCCGGTTTCCCGATTCTATCTTGATAACAGACACCCTTTGACATCCAACGTCCGCCATGGCCCCCTCTGCGATAATGACCAAGAGTGCATCGGCACCCTCTGAGTTTAAAAGCCTTTTGCTCAGAACTTACGATGGGTTCACGACTCGGAATGTGTCTACAGCACCAGCACGCGATTGTACAACTGACGAAGTCCCCATCATTGACTTGTCTGGCATGTTTGGAGATCTCAACGCAAGAAAGAAAGTCGCAAGCAAAGTGCTAAATGCTGCTAAAACAAATGGGTTTTTCTATATTAAGAACCATGGCATCCCGCAGGAAGCCACCCTAGCTGCCCACCAGAAAGCGAAGGAGTACGTTGGGCATTTATGATCAGCCACACATATGCTAACGGCCTTCTAGATTCTTCAAGCTTCCGGTCTCAGAAAAGGGCAAGCTCACCTCTGACGTCTCGTCTTATGGCTACCACGGTCTCTACACACGGCAAGTCAATCCGTCTCAATCTAAAGGTTAGTATCTGTACCGAAAAGAATTTACTAGAAATATCTCCAGTAACAACTCAACAGACAGGAAAGAGAACTTCAGTTTTCATTACGATCCCGGATTCGACCCTGCACACAAAAGTCATCTCGCCACAGTTCCCCAGCATGTGAAGGATCATCTGCCGAAAGATTCCATGATTTGGGCGCCAAACGGCATCCCGGAATTCAAGGAGACTATCCTTGGCCACTATGAGCAGTGCTTAGCGACAGCCCGTCGCCTGATCCGTATCATTGCGCTCGGTTTAGATCTACCCGAAGATTACTTTGACCGCCTCACCAGCTATCCGGGTGCCGATTTCGCACTGGTGTTCTACCCAGGCCATGGGGAAGACAAGATTGAGGATCCTGAGGAAGTAGGACTTGGAGCACACACCGACCTACAAATCTTGACCTTGTTATGGCAAGACGAGAACAAGGGGCTTCAAGTTCTCAATAACAATCACGAATGGGTGTTTGCCCCGTCCATTCCCGGCACTCTAGTTGTTAACATTGGCGACTTTCTCATGCGTCTCACAAATAATCAACTCAAGTCTACGGTCCACCGCGTGATACAGCACGGCAAAACCGATCGCTATTCAATGCCATTCTTTTTCGGTAGGTCGATTCTCAGTATTTCCGACTGCCTCTAAATATTTGTGATGTTTCTAATGGTGGAGATTCTAGGATTCAATTTTGACGAGAAACTGGGTGTTCTTCCCACGTGCGTTGATGAAAACAATCCACCCAAGTATGAGCCTGCGACTTGTGGAGAGGTTAGTATCACCAAGTTTGTTTATTGAATATCATAATATGTTAACCTTTCTTAATAGCTAATTGCAAAACGCCTTGCGTTGGGTGCAAAACCCTCATCATAATTAGAATATCTTTCTGGCTCTGTTCTCCTAGATTTAAATGTTATTTGTTCCATCTTACATTATGCATATCTTACTTCACGTATATCTAGGGACCGTAGCCTCTTACCTAAAATGTCTCTAAGGTGCTGCGAATGTGATTCTAAACTCATCAGCGATCATAAGCTGTCAGATATTGAAGGATACGAGGGGCTTTGCATCAGATTTGCATTTGGTAAATTAGTGCGGTTAAAGAAAACGCAGTTGCCTAGACTTAACACACATCAAGGCCTTCCTTTCCATTGATAGATATGTCCTCGTAGTGCTGCCTTACCCACATTATGTTCAGATGAGCCTCGCTATTCGTACTCTTACCTGCCTTCTTACCACGTGATTTGAGTATTCAGCCGGCCTTGCGTCCGCTGAGATGCCTTCTCTCCTGGAAAGCATCCCGATACAGCTAAAAGAAGCGCTAACCAGTTCATGCATTGTTTCTTGCCGTAATCTTTTCCAGCGTTTCATAAAACAGGATCGGATATCGCCAGAAGCACGGACATGACGACACCGACTGACTGACGCCATCGGCCTAACCCCACTCTTCTTGACCAGCCCAAGTTAAGAAATGTGCGGGGAGGGTGAGGTCTTGCTGGTGGACGTCGTATCGGATAGCGGCTTCTAGGTAAGCTTTGGTCATAACTTGATTGAGACTGGGGCGTTGTATTTTCCTACATCAGGCTCTCATGTAGTTTGTGCAGATGAGCATCTGTTGGTCAGTGTCCATTTGCTGCTGGAACACAAATGAGCTTTTGTATCATCTTCCAAAATCGATGGACCTTGAGTTCCTGACGCTTCCCACTCTCATCATTTTATTACAATAAAGACTCCTGAAGTATATCAGGTTCTTAGACGGTCCACTACCTAGTTAATAGAAGGAACGAGTATAGGGTAGATTTTATTTTGGCAGCCGTCCACTACGTCATATCACATCACAAGTCTTTAACAAGCAAGTTATGAGGGCATTTTATTAGCCACGAGATTGGTTATCATCCTGCCAAATTTGCTGGCTGAATCATCCCAAAGTTTTATTTACTGGAATCCAAACATGTTTAAAAGCTACCTACCACAATTTTTTATATTATCCGAGTGAGAGGGGTAAAATTGTAAGGCGAGCCCAAGACGTCATAGCTTACAATCGTCCAAAAATCCATTGGACCGGGGGGTCAATAATCTAGATGCCACTATTTTCTATCAAGGTCAGACTATGGCAGCCAGAGGAGAAGATAATAGGAGCGAGCAGTTCAAGGCAGAGAGGCCTCCCAATTGCTAAATAATATTATCAGCAGTACGCTCCCACGAAATGGCGTATAAAGACGATACAGACGTCATATAAAACCCTATGTAGTGTCTAACCCGCGCTAATGGCCGTTTGCCGTGCCGTTTGCCGTCCGGAACTAAAATTCCAGGGATTCGGGCATCACGGAACCACAGACGCGCGTCTCCAAGGCTGCTTAATGACGAGAACCATATTGATTGAGTTGGGCCAGTAGCCTAGTCATTGTAGATAAATCTCGTGTGCATGGAATTAGAAACACCAAAGACCGCTCCCGATGACCAAATATCTTCTTTTTACGACCACTGCATACGTATGCCCACCATGGTGTCTCAATATGTCTATGATCTTTGCCATGCGGGCGCCACGGTGAGCTCCGAGTTGGCAAAGAACCCGAGTGACACACCCGAAAAGATTATTGAACGGCTCTACGGAAGTCAAAAGCCCCATACTCCGCGCCATCCATCCTCCAGTTCTAGTGACAACGGCGACAAAGAAGATGCCTCTCGCGATGCGCTACAGAGGGCATATGAGTGCGGGCAGTGGCCCCGAGACAAGCCCAGCCGCCTGTTTCTGCGGGCATTTGCAGATTCGCTCGCTTGTCTAGATGCAAATCCACTTGCGGGGATGGTGTCTCCGCCGCTGATGGGATCCTCTGGTGTTGTGCCCCTGACAATCATTGCGCCATTGGTCAGTCTTATGCATCACTGTGCGAACCTCATCCGAAAAGCTAGGAAAGAGGTGTTCTTCATCACTTGCACCTGGAAAGCGTCCATTGCCCAGCGCTTGATTAGAGATGCATTGGTCGACCTGTCAAAGCGGGCTGGTCAGAGAGGAGAGCGAGTGATGGTGAGGATAATGTTTGACCAGCCCGGAGTCTGGCATGCGCTTGACAGCCATCAGTTCGTGAAATCCTCGACGTATGACTCAAAGCATGTTCAATTACCGTTTCCCCATGAGATTCCTAACCTGGAGCTCGAGGTGATTGGACTTCACACCATATTCCTGGGAACCCTGCACTCCAAGGTGCTGATTGTGGATGGCGTAACCGCCGCGGTCATGAGCAACAACGTGGAAGACAATGCAAACGTTGAAATGCTGACGCATCTCGAGGGACCCATCGTTGCCAGCATCTACGACACTGCACTTATCACGTGGCAGAAGAACTTGAAAGAACGGCCATCCACCGTTGGGCAAGCTCAGACCACTGACAAGGCCGTCGAGGCGGGTGCCACTCGTCCCGAAGCCCTGGAGGATCCCCATTACGACAGCGACCTGAAGGAGGAAATGGCATACGCCAACCAGGGCTACGACGCTACGGAGAAGGTGAGCCGCCTTGAAGCGGTCAATCACCAGCTCAATTTGCCCATCAAAAATCACATCCAGGCCACCGGCCCTGAGATTTCTGATGGAAAGGAGATGACGCCCTATTTCTCGAGCATGACATCACAACCGGTTCCCATGGCCCTGGTCTCAAGGCCGGCTTACGGGCCTTTGGATGCTGGAAACACGTATGTGCCACAGAATGAAGCATGGCTATCACTTGTGAGAAACGCCAAGAGGAACATCTTCATTCAAACACCAGACCTCAATGCCGACTCTCTGTTGAAAGCCCTGGCTGAGGCCGTGAAGCGAGGCGTGGAGGTCACGTATTACGTGTGTTTTGGGTACAACGATGCGGGCGAGATGATACCGGGTCAAGGCGGGACCAACGAGCAAGCGGCCAGGAGACTCATTGCATTGCTTGATGGCGACGAGCAAGCGCTCCAGCTGCTTCATATCTATAACTACGTCGCAAAGGATCAGGACCACCCTATACATCACTCCTTCAAGTCTCGCTCTTGCCACATCAAGCTCATGATTGCCGACGAAACAGTGGGAATCCAAGGAAGCGGCAATCAAGACACACAATCGTGGTGCCACAGCCAGGAGGTCAACGTCATGGTCGATAGTCCCGAGGTGTGCGCACAGTGGAGGTGGGGGATCGAGCAGAATCAGAACACGCGTGCCTTTGGTAGAGTATCTGCTGATGGTGTCTGGAAAGATGCAAATGGGATCCATGGGCAGGGCTACTCTGGCGATCCGGGTATGGTGGACGGACTGGTGCGAGGCGTTGTTGGTATGGTAAAGAAGGCGATGGCTTAGCGGAGCGCTTTGTAACAGTTTTAAGAGCTCGCGATGGGTGTTTGGGATTGTTTTGCTTCGGTCTGTATTCTTCCTCATATCCAGATATTCTCATTGTATTTAACATCTTGCGTCGGGCAAGCTAACAACTTAAACCTCCAACATTTTGTGTCTGCCTGGAGGCAATGATTTTTGCCTTGATTGTTGAAGTGTCTTGCGGTCCATTACAAAACAACCGTACAATGCCATTACTCGGAAAGCTGAACCTTGACTCCCAATTGGCCGTGCGCATGTTCGTCTGCCTCACTTCAAGACATCGCCAGCACCAAGTGAGAATACGTGACAGTGGAACTGACGGAAACACCCGCAAACGAGAAGACCGGTGTCTCTTTCGCTGCCAGTTCAATGACCGAGCTTACGAGTTATCTGCCAAGCCGCATCTCAGGCGATTGGCCAATGCTACTGAAGAATGGCGAGAGGTTGCGGACCAATCGAATGATCGAATTGCAAGAAAAAGAAACAAATTAATTCATGTGCTATTTAATTTCTTTTGCCACGTCAACGATGACATCCACAGATACTCCTTGGATCAACAGCCGGCATCCTGTGTGACATCAATCTGTCGGCAATACGGACATTGTTTGGTTTGGGAACCAGCTCGGCTGCCAATATGTCCGATCTCATCCGATGATATGCGTGTGCCGTTTTCGTTAATCGCGCCACCTGAATTATGCCATGAAACATGCGCCTTTCTTTGCGCGGGGGAGCGTGATGTGATTGGAGGTAGAGCGTGGGGAGCCGATGGGGCGTTTAGATTTCGTCAATGCCAACATGCATGGCTCGGTTGTCCCTGCATCGTGCATCTCATGCCATTGATGGCCGGCTGTACGCTGAGCTGGACATGCACCCGGAGTCCTCATGCCCAGGCCATCATTCAGAACCATCAAAGGTGTCCATCAGAGGTATAAAAGGCCTTGGTGAATCCCTCCAAACTCGCACTTTTCTCATCATCACTCTCATCAACACTCAAACACAAACACCTTTTTCAACCCTTTCCAACAAACCCAAAACCGACATCATGTCTTCCACGTAAGCAACATTTGGATTCCAGACGATCGAGATCTCAATATGCTAACCGAGTCTTCTCCCACAGCGAGCAGTTCACTGTCCCTCTCCCCACCGCCACTGGCCTCAACGTTCCTGCTGGTATGTGCTCTTGCATTCGCTAAGACATCTAGTTCTCAACTTCGACTCATTCAATCTCTAACCGTTCTCGATAAACAGGCCAGATCGTCAAGGGTGCCGTCCAGGACGATGGCTCCCTCCGTGACGCCGCTCTCCTCCTCGGTATCAAGCTCGACTTGGAGGCCGAGGTCCACCTGACTGCCCGTGTCAAGGGTGACGTCGTTGTTGGTCTCTACTAGATGGGGAATTCATCTGGGAGCGTGGGATTATGAATGAAAAGACATTGAGAAGGCTTGACTAGGGTCTCAACCAGGATGGGGAGGGTACCTGATTCTCCATCGCCAACTAAACTAGCCAGCCGAGGGTCGCTTGAAAAAAAATCTAACACTTCATTTCAATTATTGTGCCCAATTCAATGTGAATGATTAACTCTTAACCCCAAAGGGTCATTGAAATCATTAGTCATATCGATGTCTCTCTCCTCTACTGATGGGAAGGCTCCGGAAGCAGCGCGCTTTGGGCGAAGTCGATCATTTGGGTCTTGAAGAGAAACGCGAACATTATCTCGAATTTGTTTCGCATTCCTCTATACCACAACAAGAACGACGTATATAGCTGCGTACTGACGGATTCCGTGTTTTCATATGCCTTGGGGCTCTGCCGTTCAACATTGTAAAGTCCACAATTGCAGATGTTCTGATCCGATAATCCAAGCGACCATTCGCACAGACTGAGAAGTTCTTTGCCTATTTATACCGATATCGAATGGGCTATGACTGCCAAGTTTCGATAAAACAGTCAGCCACGTGTAGGAGGTGATCAGCATCACGACAGCTTGAGGCAAACATGGCACGTTATATCTGCTCTTTATGGGTGATCAAGGGGGACAAGTTCAGGTATTTCACGGAGAAACAGTATAGTGGCACACTTATTCCGCCTTCCAGCTGTTGGATATTAAATGTTCTTTTCCCCGTATTACTAGTTTTATCTAATGCGAAACTCATAAATCATCGTTCGTTAGTCTTGAGCCTAGGTTAATCCTATAGCAAAACTGTTTCCAATTCGGAGAGACTGGAGCCGTCATGTAGAGCAGGTACATGTTCCCCATGTCTCTGGCCATCCTAGACTACGAAGATGTCCAAGTGACCTGGAAGGAAACGGACTTGGGGGTGGTGTAAACGGTACCCTGAGTTTGGCCAGTGGGAAGTTCAGTGGCGTAGAAAGTGTTGGAGCTACCGAAGGTGAGGTAGGTACCATCGAAGCCAAACGAGCTTGGAGAGGAGTTACTCGTATCGCAGGTAAGGGTGTCGCTCTTCACGGCACAGTTGCCCTTGCTGGTCTTCAGGGTGAAGGTCTTTCCGTCGGAGTTGGGGGTAGCGGTATATCCGGCGGGGGTGCCGGCAGGATCACGGTACCACGTTCCCTTGCTGATCAGAAATCCGCCGTTGGACTGGCCAGGGGTGGTGGCATAGAAGAATCCCTTGCCGGAGAGTTGGCCGGGAGCAGCAGTGGGGGTGCTGCCAGGTGCGGTGCTGGTTGTGGTGGGAGGCGAAGGGTTGGTGCCGTCCTTGGGAAGATACTTGATACCGGTCGAGGGGCAGTTGGAAGGAGAGCCAACAGGGGCAACGGGGACGAATTGGCCAGACTGGATGGATCCGCGGACATTGTAATGATACCAAAGCTCGTTCAATTCGCCGCTGGAGCATCGAATAATGACCTCGTACCCATGGTTCTTGGTCAGGGCAGCCTGGACCTCGGCGAGAGTGTACGTCTTGCTTGTGGAGGGAACAATGCCGGCAGCAGCGAGCCACTTGTAGGTGGGAAGAGTTCTGTCGACCTTGACAGCGCGCTTGAAGTAGTCCACTACTTCTTGGTGAGGCTCGTAGTTGGGGTAGCATTTTGGCTCAAGGGTGCTCATGCATGTACCGTGCTTGTTGAACTCATGTTCCCAGAAATCCTCGTCGTCGCCGCTGTAGTCCTTCCAGAAGGTCTGCATATACTTAAACGTGCAGGGCGCATTGGCCTTGAGGATTTCAGTGACGTTATGAACCTCCCTGCTTGAATCGCAGTATTGCTCGTAAGATCCATCGCAGTTGTCAGGCCTAAAGCGGTGATCTTCATCAGTCTGGGTTCACGTGGAAGGATCCAACAAGAGAAGCGGATTACCATAGTCCGTGGATGGTCCAGGAGTCAATGGGACCAGTCGAGGGGTTGGTGTCCCAAAACTGTGTGAGAAGAATCTGGCCTCCGGGCGAATTAAAGCAACAGGTATCTGTGTACGTTGCCTGGCAGCTCAGAGGAACATCAGCCGGGCATGAAACGGAGCCGGCAGCGGCAGCACCGACAGCCAAGCCAGCGGCCTGGACAAGGAGGTTTCGTGACAACATGGTGTAAGACGATGCCAGATGTCAGACTACTCTTCAGATTGGGGATGCGTGCTTTTGCGTGGGAAAAACCGGTATATAAGGAAAATACGAATTACAGTTGGCGAGCCTATCTGTCTACCGACCTACCTAATCTGCCAATTCCACCAATCCCCTGCCGTGCTATTCAATATACTGCTAGAGGTGGCATGGTCAACGCCCTCGCATAGACGAGTGATAGTGCGCCATTACCTCTCGTGCCTGACAAAAGGCTCGGCGTCAGACCAAACCAGGCACAAATTGAAGCAGGAAGCACGTGGACGACCAGGGAGTCTCTGGGAGAGCTCCCTCTTTAGGCAGGTCAGCTTGATTCCAGCCCGCAATTACTGGTCCGAGAAGATGGGACGAAGGAGCTAGAGCCGGATAACCGGCAAGCCAGGGCGCAGTGTCATGTTGCCGCGCCGGATCATGGCGTTGGGGCACCACGGGGGCTGGTGGATGTCTGCAATATTCCCTGCAAATGATAAGAGCCATACATCCCGAGGAGACCGAGTGCCCCGTGAATCGCTTCCATGCAAGTTGACCAGACAGTTAGTTCTCTGTGTAAATCATGGTCAGTCCCCCCTTCTCCACAATGATCATCGCAGTTTTACATAGCTTATATTCACTATGGTTACATTTCAAGATGCCGATTGTACAATCTGGGCAAATATACAAGGGTACGATACAACATTTCCGCCTGCTTACCTGACTCTCAACTCTCACTCCAGCTAGAATCCGCAACGGGGTAGCAGTACATGAAGGCAGGTTTGTATTTCTCAATTCAGGACTTGGTATTTTAGATAACAAACAAAAAGCAGCCAAGCCCACGTGCGTGGCAAAAGTACCAGCATTTCAAAAAGCTCGCTCCATAAGCGGGGCTGATGTGAACTAATTATCAGAAGCCCATTCTTAGTCCTGGCCGTTCCTGAGCTAGTTCACTAATAACATTATCTACCAGGAAAAGGATGTCTTACAGTCCATCTGGTGGTTCGGGGGTGGAGTATTAATGGATGTGATTATGCATGAAAGTCTACTTCACAATCTGTCATGCATGTATGAGCAGTTAGGCCGATACTGACCCATCGGGATGCCTTTGGCTGAAGATGAAGTAAGAAACTTCAATGCATAAATATAGATGGTTGGACTATTCATTGTGTTGAGTTGTCGGGCTCTGGCAGCTTCCATTGCTGTTGAACTTTATTCTCTTTCTCTTAGGCCTACACCAGGGACCATAACGCGGTTTACGACGCCAAGGGACAGGAATGCTTGGATCTATTTCTCTCCTCATGTTGTCCAAGAATTGAAAATAGCCTTAACAAGTTTCCATCTCGACAAAAATTAGAGATCAAAACGGCACCCTGCCTATAGGTTCTAAGACCACCAGAAACGCAAAACACCCAACATCTACGCCTCCCCAAATCACAAATATTCACCCACCGAAGAGCTCTGCTTTATGTATCAGGTTTCACTAACCGATGATAAAGGCTCTACGTCAGTGTATATTTCACGCCTGGACTAAAGTATTCACTTCTTCCGGCGAATACGCCCTCGTGTCTCACGACTAAGTTCACCACAATTGCAACTTTATTATGCTTTAAGCACCTACATTCAGGTTGTTCAACTACAAACCTTATTCGAGACTCATAAATATTAAAAATCTAAGACAATCATTCTGCTCAAAAGAGAAGTACTCTTGCTGTTTAAAGAATATTTCCTTCTCGTTATGCGGATGAACAGTAAACCACGTTGGAAGAGGTACGATTCAAGCTGACCCGACCATGCGAGTAGGCAATATTACGTGTTACGTGAAACCCTTATTTCCGAGCCCTGTAGGGCTGAGCACTATTTCACTCATCAGCGACATTCACGCATCAGCTTAATGGGAAGCTTCTCCCCGCATCGTGTGTGAGCTCGCTCGGTAATGGTACCCGTAGAAAGGTTGAAGTATCATACATATCAGCATGGGATTATTGCAACCATCTCAATATTTGGGCCCTTCTATCTTTTCCCTGAACCGAAGGACAGACACCTCTCGCGTACCCCGAACAGACAGCACAGTCACGCGGACATTTTAACATGCGGGTGCGCTGCGCCACCTTTGACGACGACGCGCTTGGATTCAAATAAGCGCTCCGCCACACTGGCCCTAAGATAAGGCTGACACTTGCTATTGTGTTTATATCCGCTCGGTACCCCTCTTCATCTCCTTCAATTGCCTAGCTTCCTCTGCGTGCCTTTCACTCTATTGCCTTGCCTGCTCCTATCTTGAACTGGGATCCGACCATGAGCAACCAGGACTACTATCAAAATCAAAATAACGGCTATTACGCTCCCCAGGGAGGGTATGAACCTCCCAGCCATCCGCCGCCCGGAAATTCACCAGCTGGTCAAGGCAGTCATAATCAATATCCGGACCAACGGCAGCAGTATCAGCCATACCAAGCATACAGCCAAGGTGGCCACAGTTCGAATCAACCACAAAACCACCAGTCATACCAACCATACGGACAGTATGCCCAAAATAGTCAACAGGCCTACCCAGGAAGCCCTCAGCAGCCTGTCTACGCTTCACAGTCGCATGGCGCGGGCCACTCAGAGCCCCCTCCTCCGTACGGATACCCTCCCCAGCAGCATGCAGCCAGCGGCTACAACGACCCCGAAGGTGAACGAGGCGTATTGGGAGCTCTAGCTGGTGGTGCTGCCGGTGGCTTCGGAGGCTACAAAGTCGGCGGCAAAGTTACCGGCCACAGCAAGACCACCGCCGTACTGGGTGCTCTCGCAGGCGCGTATGCTGGACACAAGATTCAGGATACAGTGTCCGGTAAAAGCGACGATGAGAAGAAGAAGAAAGAGGACAAGAAGAAGGACAAGAAGAAAAAGGAGCGATCAAGAAGCCGAAGCCGTTCCCGCGAGCTCAGAGGTAACTTTAGTGGCTCGTCCGAGGACATCTATCTTGAACACGACTCTCACACTTTGGTGGCTCGATGCTGGCCAGTTGATGGCGATTTGAGAAGCAGCAGCATCGACTTGAACCGATACCTCGAGAATAGTTGGGGTAATTTCCGTTGGGTGGATGGGACCAATAAGACGGGTAACTTTTTTGCTTCGGCACGCAAGGTGCGTCTTCGCGACAACGGGAAGAGGCTCGAGGCCGAGCTGGGTTGTGGCAATGGGGAATGGGCTACAAGCTCGATCAATCTGGATGAAAGGATTGGGAATGAGAACGGATCGTTGCGCTTTGTGTGACGAGCATCCAAGCATGCGGTAGTTGCAGCCAAGTCGTAAACGAGACATCGGTCATATAAGAAGTTGCAATTCACAGTTAATTAAATATCATGCTTCGATCTCTAATGGTGTCTATGGATAATTGCAACCCTTTATTTGGAAACAAAGATTATTGTAGCAACTTCATACGATATAAAGAAAGAGTAAGCTATTATAGCTGGTTCGCCAAGGCGGGCTCGGAGGATGACGATTTTCTGACTCTATTACTGTAAGAATCCGTCGAATTGCCGGCTGTAATATAGAGATAAGCATGCAACGATAGAGTTTCCATCTGGGAGCGCGGAAGAGCCAGCTCTTTCAACTTATGAGAAAATATCAATAGCGCTAATCTTCTCCAACGCCGATGGGTATTTCAAGAATGAAGGCTGATTTAGTACTTACGAGGGACAGCTCTTGTACTGGAGAACGAAAGGTCCCCGGCCGCCAAAAACACGACCCAGAAAGGGGGAACTGTATTACTGGATAGGGAGGCCCGGTATTATCATGACATTTCCGTTATTTCGTCTAGCCATGGGTAAAGACGAGTTAAAATCACATTGGGGCATATCATCGTCGCTATGTGCCGGCAAGTGAATCGGCATTACAGCCCACTTACGACTGTCACAATCGGAAAAGGTAAAGCTTCTGACAACCACTGTATATTTAGAGACTCCCCAAATTCTTCAACTATCAACAACTATATCTCTCCTCAACTTAATCGTACAAAATCCATCCCCATTGATTTCTTTCCCGCGCTGCAGGTCAGGCCGGTGACGCTCCCAAGAGGCTGCGGCTTCTGGTTTGCTTCGGTGAATTCACAACCGCAGCCTGTCCGAGCAGTCATTCTTGTCTCGGACCCCTCAGTGGCGGCGCCTTGCAGGTGAGGGGGGAGGAGTGGGAGGAACCGGTCCAGGGCGAGGGCGAGGAGCAGGAAGAGGAGCAGGACGAGGACGAGGCTGGCGCTGGCGAGCATAAAGATCCCGAGCCTCAAGATAGTCAACATCACGTCGTCCTCGACCTCGACGGTTGGCGGGAGAAGGAGGGGGGGTAGGAGGAACTGGTCCAGGACGAGGACGAGGAGCGGGAAGAGGAGCAGGGCGAGGGCGAGGCTGACGCTGACGAACGTAGAGATCACGGGCCTCAAGGTAGTCAACATCACGGCGTCCTCGACCTCGACGGTTTGCTGGAGAAGGAGGGGGAGTAGGGGGAACTGGTCCAGGGCGAGGGCGAGGTGCAGGCAGAGGAGCAGGGCGTGGGCGAGGCTGGCGCTGGCGAGCATAAAGATCCCGAGCTTCAAGGTACTCTAGGGCACGGCGCCCCTTACGGGCAGGGGAAGGAGGAGGAGTGGGAGGGACTGGCCCAGGACGGGGGCGAGGAGCGGGGAGAGGAGCAGGGCGAGGGCGAGGCTGCCTCTGGCGCACATAGAGATCCCGAGCCTCTAGGAGCTCCTCCTCGATATCTCGAGCCTCAAGAAGGTCATCCTCGAAGTCACGAATTTCGACGAGCTCGTCCTCAATGTCGCGAGTCTCAAGCTCATCATCCTCGTCTCTTTCTTCAAGACCAAGATCGACATCTCGAGCGACAATTTCTTCAACGTTCTCACCGCGAACAGCGAGATCGTCAGGTTTATCAAGGGACTGTGCAAGTCCACGGCTGGCGAGGCCCAGCCACAGGACTGCGGTCACACTCAACTGCTTGAGTGCAACCATTTTGAAAACAAAAAGGACGAAGGTTGTAAGATCAACTAATAAACCAGAAGGGAAATGAGTGATGGGAAAAAGGAAAAGGAAATGAGGTAAATGCTGTTCTGTAAAAAGACTGTTGTGCTTAGAATGAAGGAACAATCAAGGAGGAGAAGGCAGAGTCTAATATAGTTTTTCACACCGGCAAGAGACAGACTCCAACAGTCTTCCAGGTCTTCTCTCGCCACTCTTCTAGAGTTACCCCCATGGATTCATCATCGAATCCAGGTGCCCCTCAACTGGAGGATTCTACGTGTTCAGCATGAATCGCACCTAGCCAGCTAAACCACGCCACAAGTCTAATCTAACTAACCAGGCCGTGTGATCCTATCCAGGGATTAAGTTGCCCGGACATAGAGCGATCCGGTCTAGATATCCAAAACAATGGTATTATTAGCATAATCGATTTCAATCTGTAGACATTCGCGTTCAGCCAGGTTCGCTCGCAGAGGCTCTCGGCAGGGCCGCCCGGACCTGATGAGGTCCCAAAAGGATCAACTCTCCACCTGATGGTGGGCACTCATCTATCAAGTTCCGGCCCGTCTCGTAAACTACCCCTAACACCCCTCTAGGCAGCCATTTTCAATAGACTAACTTAAAACCATTTCAGAGCTTTGCCCAAAGTGGCTTATGGTCGCGCATACTACCCACCACGGCATCATCGCGACATCACCGATCGACCACGTACTTCTTGCAGGAAGTGGAAGATGATCTACGGAAAGGAATGCTACATCCTTGCGAGCCAAGTAATAGAGTAGTTGCCTCTATTGAACAGCGTCCCTCTTACCGCACAATGTGCAGTTATTTATAGAGTGCCCCTATTCCCCAGGGTGTAGCTATCGGCAGAAAATCGAGCACGCGTCCAACCTCGAATTAGATATCCAATTTCTATAAGGGACCGCATGCGAACGACGCGTGCCTAGAGTTTAGAATCGACAGTGTGAAGACTGTCTCTCCTGCTGGAAAGAAGAGAAGCGACGGTTAAGTGATGCACAATGCGCCCTCACCCCTTACCGATATCCCTTGCATAGTCCTTGGTTCTAATACCGGGATCGTACAATTCAAACATACATTCTCCCTACGGTTACGGCCCTGAGCACGTGGCCAAGAGTTTGATATCGTACTCTCATCACATTCGGGAGCAAGTTCGGCCTCGACCCCTGCCACGATATCCACTCTCATTCCTTCGAAAGCTGGGCAATTGCCAAACCCGCGTGCCCTATTGCGCTATCAGTCTGCCTCCCTCCCTCCCCATCCCGCTACCCGTAATAAGGCTCTTACCATGCCAGGTCAGGGGTTTGTGTCAGGATGGATACACCCCCAAGCAAGAAACGACGTGATAACGGAGGTCCACAATCGTGAGATTCTAATCTAAAATTGCGAATGTAATAAGCTATCACAGGACTTGTATTCACTTCTTCTACCTTGAGCAGCAAGTACCTCCATACTAGCGGATGGGATGGCCGATATCCTGGAACTTAGAACAGCTGATGTCGAGAATATATCTCCTCGACGACATAATTTAACTTAAGCATTCAAGAGGATTAGATCATGAGTTCGAGCGATAGAGATAGGCAATGGCTTAATTACTGATGTAGGGTACGGTTCATCATCAACAAAATAACAATGTGGCTGTACAGGGCAGCTGTTGTTCTCAAGAAGGCTCGGCATGTAGGGGTATGAACCGGGAACACGGCAGGTCACCAATATTATTACACGTCATATTTTCCTCTGTAATTAATTAAAGCAAAACCCCATCACATGAGGTCCTTAGAGCGGCCGCAGAAGAGCCTCTTCTTCGTCTTTCTCATACCCTTGTCACAATGATGGATGTCTAAAAACACAAATCCCGATGTATCGTCGGTAGCAAATAACGGTTAAAACGTACTTGTGTCACTTGATAGCTGGTTGTAGAAAAACTACTCATACAGAAAGTCATTTTTATTCACTATTATTAAAGGGCGAGACTATGAAAAGGCTACCTCTGGGCCGGTATGAAAAATATGCATTATGAAGCACAGTTTGTTGTAGAGCAACCTTGCTGCCGAGCATAACTTTGATACTTCTCCCTAGCCAAGTACTCTTTACTTCTTGGCCACACTGCGGTGTCAAGAGGCATGGAGTGTCTCGGCGGGTTAGGATACTCATACTTCCCGGCCTTTCGATTCATTCGTTAATTGACGAACTAGGATGTCTTTTCCATCTGAGGTAGAAGCAGTGACGGTGGCTTTATTTTCGGCTCAGCACCCTTACAATGTACCATCATATGATCTCATATCACAGAGGAGCATCATGATAAAATAGAATTGGGTCTCTGTGTCAGTGGGAGAACTTAATCCTGATCATGAATTCGTTCACTCACCCCACTACTTCCCCTTTTTCTTTGTTTTCGGCCAGGACAGGCAGTATTTAAAAAGCACGCCAAGCATGTTGCCGAAGGCTGAGGCTGTAACACTTGGCGTCAATGAGAATCCTTCATCCCTCAGTTTGTTCATGAGGCACAGCTGCTGCCAAGACCGCCACCTGCTCAAGTGGTCCATCACGTTACTTTAAATATTTTACAGCATAGCTTTCCTTCAAAACCCGCTTGCCTTCGCTTTCGGGAGATTTACGACGTACGTATATGGGGCGACAAAGGAGGTTGGATACTAATACCTGCACCTCTTCTAGCCGTGCTTTCGCCACTAGCAACCGCAAACCCGAGGATCCTTGGGCACCTTCTATTTTGTGCTGTTAGAAACGGAAGGTATTTAAGACGCTTTTGGAACATGCGTTCATGTTTTGTTCGCCACTCAAGTACTAGCGGCGGCAACTCGGGGCTTGAGCTCTTTCCGCTTGTCCTGTGCGTCCGGCACTCAGGGGTCCTGAAAGTCTCTCAAATCCACACTGGTAGGACTAATTCAAGAAATAACCAATTGCGTGAATATACTGTGATCCATAGGGTCTTATTCTCTTGCTCAAGTACTCGTCGGTCGGTAATACATACGAGACCAAGGCAAGACTTAAGTCAAAAAGGGGGACTTTCTGCCAAATCGTGAAATTGAGTCGGGCAGCTCTCCATGTGGCCAATAGGCAATAAAAACTTCTTCAAACTGAGCACTGAGAGATTAAGATTTCCAAGGTGATTAAATCTCCTTCTGTCAATAACCAATAGAATGAAAACACCATTTTACCTCCTCGCCATGTTGGTTAGCAATGGAAACATTCTCTAATGATCAGGTATCTAAGAGCAGACGATGCTTGGGCCCTGATTCAAGAGGCAGGAAATATTTGCCCCACTTTGCTAAGGGAACCTGAAGAGTTATGAAAGGAAGGAAAGTCACGATTTCCTGGGGAAATCGGGTCATTTTCCTCCGGGCAAGAAAATGAAAAGTGCAAAATACGCTATGATCCTTGGCATCTAGGCCTCTTTAAGGCATCCGGACCCCCTGGTTAAACCCCGGTCACATAATTTTATGCTGCAAATTCTGACTAAATAAGGTATAGCTTCTATTTTTGTGTAAATCGCGTATTTCCATCTCAAATTTCCAGGCTCTTGAATCAGGCCCTTGTGGGCACGAACTTGACGGGGCACCCAGAGTCAGGGATGCAGCAGCCGTGACATTCCGCCCCCGGTAGTTTGAACTGATCAACCTCAATCCCTGTCCGAACTAGGATGAGAGCAATTGTAGGCCGCCCCTAAACGGCCTGTCCTACCCTATACTAGGACCATAACACTACGTACTCTGGATCGTCAAGATGAGATTCGCTTCTATTGCACTGGTGATGAACGGTTGTTAGAAGAGACCATAGAGGTATCAATTATCGGATTAGTAAGATGAAGCTATCAGAAACTTGACAGACTTTCTATCCCAGGTCCCTAAAATGGCGTCGTACGATAATAGTATTGTGCGGAGGTTACTAGTATCCGAGGCTGAGTTTTCATCCAGGAGAACCTCAAAGACATTCAACCATCGCGGGGCAGGAACACGTGCCGATGTAGACGTTTGCTGCCATCGGTAGCTGGAAGTTGCTCACACTGATTATGCGGAGCACCGTGGGGAACCTGGAGTGACCTTTGTCGGCTTAAGCCGAATGATTGGTGGAGAGGGCTTTCGGGTTTTGGCCGATGGCATCATGACTCGGACATAGCAAAGCCGTGTAATGGCATATAAGGTTTTTATATGCGAAGGACAAGTAATAGACATCGCCTGCATAGAGATTCATTGATCTTTTACGCTCGCCTACCCTCAAACATGACGCATCCTGTTAAAGCAGTGCCAGCTGGTGCCTGGGACACGCACCATCACATCTTTGAGCCGGAGCGATTTCCCTTTGCTGCTGGACGGCACTTTACCCCCTCGGTAGCTACGCTCGACCAGCTCAAAGAGTTCGAGGCCTCAATTGGCGTCGAACACGTTTGCATTGCTCATGGCCTTTCATACGGCCCTGACTGTACGTCTCTCTTGTACTACCTAGAGCAGTTCAAGGGAACCGCTCGTGGCATTGGTGTCATAGATGAGCAGAGCATCTCAGATGAGTTGCTTGACAAATATCATGCTGCAGGCGTGCGCAGTGTCCGATTGGACTTTTTCAAAGCACAGGCCATGAACGACTTGGACAAGCAAATCGACATGATCAAGCAAACTGCCAACAGGCTCCTGCGCTGGAAGCCCAATGGCAATGGTTGGAGTGTGCAAATGCAACAACCAAATCTCACATACTGGAAGAAAATTCGTGAGGTTGCCAAGGATCTTGGTCTGCCCATTGTGATTGACCATATGGCGCTCGTGAAGGCGGCCAGCATGACACCGGAAGGGGCTGGACTTGCCATTAAACAACCGGGCTGGCAAGAACTCTTGGGTGCCATTTCGGATGGAAACGTCTGGATGAAGATTTCAGCACCGTATCGGAACTCTCGTGCTGATCCTACCTTCGATGATCTCCACGATATTGTGACAGAGCTGGTCCACGCAAACCCGAAGCGG